TAATTTAATAATATAGATCTGCAAGTTACGGATATTGCCCAAAATAATATGCAAAATGTTCGTTCTTATATTTTGTAAAGTTATCGTATACATGTATTATTTATTTCCAGATCTGTTTTGACAAAAGATTGCTTTCAGTATAATGAAAAAAATTTAATCTAATGGACGAAAATATTCATACACTAAGAAAAATCTGATTGTATTAATTAGAAATTTGATAAATTCAGTCTGTTGGAAAATGGATGAATCAAAATTCCTTTAGAAATTACCAGATAAGTATGATTAATTTCTTCCTGTTAAATTTACCAAATTTTTTCGGTAATAATACTAAATTTACAAAAAAAATGGCTTACTCTGTCCATGTTTAGTTAATATAACAAAATTTTATAGATCTAACTAGAAAATACTAACCAAATCCTTATAAAATCTATTAAACCTTATAAAGTCTATTAAAGTCTATCATTAAGTTCTAGTTAAAAAATCAAATCTTATCACGATAACTAGAAATTCTGCTTGGTTTAATCAAAATGCTTTCTATCAGATACGTCTTGTTCATACAAACAAGCAATTTTTCTCAGTGTACCAAACATAATACCGTTATGAACGTTGCCTAATAATGTGCGGTTCGTCGCCCCAAGGTTCGTTCAATCCCACCCCATTCCCTGTCTGGAAAAGTCTGGATAGCAGGGATGTAGAGAACCAAGAAAGGGCGAATATCAAGGGTGATATAAACATATAATGTATAACATATGGGAATATACTTTGGAGCACAATATGCAATATATATCACTGCGTCCAACTTGTCCCTGCTGTTATGCATTTTATAATAATTGAGAATTAAGAGCTCCCTTTAATCTATACATAAAGATTAAAGAGAGTCCTGAATCTCTCGTTTTTTGATCCACAACATACGTAATGATCGCTCGCTATATTTGTTATATATATACACTGAGGGAAAAATTTTTTTAAATCAAATAAATTTGTTTTCTTGAAACTTTTGCGTTAAATGGAAGGAATTGTTTATTTTATTTAAGCAAAAGCATTTAATTTCAATTAAATATGCATGTTATATTAAGTACATTATTTTCATTTATATATTTTTTTATATTTAAATACTATTTTCGTAAAATATATACTATAAATTATTAAATTAAATATATTATTTTTTGAAATTAAAAAATTAAAAATTTTTGGAAATAAAAAATGCATTTTAATAAATATTTTGTAAAATTAAAATATAAAAATATTTATTAATAATTAAAAATTATATTTTTTTAAGCATATATATTTTTTAAACATATGTAAATAAATACTTAACTTAAGCAAACAAACGTTTTGAATACAAGTAAATACGTGAGTAGTACCCACCGAATAAATAGCTTTCTTCAGTTAACTAAAATTCTTTTATTTCAAGATAATTGTTTCCTCAGTGTGTATATATATATATATATATATATATATATATATATATATATATGCTTTACTCCCACATGAAAATGTAACGGTAGTGACGTCACAATTTGACGTCATAACGCCTCCTACTAGCTATCCGCCGTATTGATTTTCAGTGACGTCACTGAAAGTACATTTGAAGGTACTTTTTTCAAAATTTATTTTATTCCTTAATTAAATGTTGTCATTTATTTATTGCTTAATTAAATGTCATTCTATTTGCTTCAAGATTCTTTGGTGAGGTGGGTGCATATATGTGTACGTCGCGACGTATTATCTGCTTCATATCGTGCACTCGATAATTTTTTGCTTCTTAGAAAATATTTCCACGTACTTAAAGACTTAGTAGTTTTATCGAGCCACTATATCGCGATACAAAACAAAAACTTGATATTGACAGCGCTGTAATGAATCACGTCGAGAATACCTTTCGAATTTTCTTCGTACATGCACTTAGTTTGAAACCTGCAATTCTTCAGCGAATTGCGTTGAAATCTACAAGTCATGCGAAATATACAGGGTGATTCGTTTTAATCTTAACAGGCAAATATTTTGAAAAATATGCGAGGTACGAAAAGACGTTTCAGACAAAAGTTATATGGTTTTAAAGGAGACATAAGATGGTGTCATTAATTTGACCTTAAATAATTACTTGAAAGTCATGTGAAGGTTATCCTTTTTTTTAAATGGAACTGTCTATTTTTTATTACATATTCTTGCAGCTTATCTCGAGAGCTTTTCAAAACACTATAATTAAGTTAGTTTTCATTAAGTACTTTCCGAGTTATGAGGCTTGAAATAATTTCTCAATTTTACATAAACTATAAAATATCTAGTAAAATATTCATTTTTCGATTATCTTACCTTAATACTTTTATGCACAAAATAATGAGAGGAATCAATTGGTGTAAAGAAAAAACATAGTTGTTTTTAAGAAAAATGTAATTTGCAATTAACAATTACATTTTTTCTTTTTTAAATAACTATGTTTTTTCTCCTCACATTATTTTAATCTTCATATTATTTTGTGCATAAAAATATTAAGATAAGATAATCGAAAAATGAATATTTTACAAGATATTTTACGGTTATATAAAATTAAGAAATGTGATTTTACGCTTCATAACTCGGAAAGTATTTAATGAAAACTAACTTAATTATAGTGTTTTGGAAAGCTCTCGAGATGAGCTGTAAGAATATGCAATAAAAAGTAGGTGATTCTATTTAAAAAATTGAAGGTGACGTTCACGTGATCTTCAAGTAACTATTCAAGGTCAAATTAATGAAATCATCTGATGGCCCCCTTCGAGCCATGCAACTTTTGTTTGAAACATTTTTTTATTTAACGCACCGTTTCGGAGATATTTGAGCGTATTATTTAAAATGGAACACCCTGTATATACGTCACTATGAAACGGCCTAATAATTTATCCGGCTCGACAGATCCTGACGTCATAGAAAAGATCTTGTTTTCTCACTATCGTGTTAGCGAAAATGACCGTGAAAGTCTCGCGCGTGGTACAATCAGTCGGTATTTCTGATAATCGCAGCACAGATGCATAAATTATAAGCATACGTAATGTAAGAGAGAAGAGGAAAATTTGAACACATGTTAATACTAAGATATCGATTTTGCGCGCATAAGAGAACATGATAAAAAACTCATGCAAGCTTATGCAATAGCACGCAATGCTATTGCACAAACTTATACATGGAATTATCATCGCTAATTCATCTCTCACTCTCGTGACCATAATTTTATTAATCATTATTAATCGATACGCGCGAGAGAAATCGCGTCGTATCGTTTCGCTCGATTGCGATGGTTTGTTGCTTCTTTGATTTTAGTTCAGAGATTAAAAAAGCCGGCATGCTTATTCACGGATATCGCACGACAGCGATTGCAGAGAGATCTGTCAATTAAGGCGGCGCCAGCTGGAAATCAGAGCGAGCGCGAGTCGCGCCAAATCTCAATCTCGATCGCGATAATTCCCCGCGCTAGATAAAAATTCGCACGATCCATGAAAAGACTCGGATAGCTAATGTTTGCATAAGATAATGTTTATCTGAAATTTTCTCATGAAATAGTCATACGCCGCAAAAGACGGGGAACGTCACTATACTGAGAAAAATCGTTCGATTGTACCAACAAGACTATATGATTGAAGGCATTTTGGTTAAAGCAAACAAGAATTTCTAGTTATCATGATAAGACTCGATTTTTTTATAATTAGAACGTTTAATAGATTTTACTATAAGGATTTGGTTAGTATTTTTTGGTTGGATCTATAAAATTTCTTGTTATATTAATTTCTTTGCTTGGCACTCTTAACTTAACTCGTATTCAATATTTGCCATAAAATGTATATAAAGAACTAGTATTAACATTAAATCCAAAGTATACTTTTTTTCTCTTACGAGCAGTAGTGCCAGAAAGAGGACGCTAGTTCTCTGATTGTGTGTGTTTGAGCTGCATCTTCTTCTTGCATCACTATTTATCAGTTTAATTTCTAACTGAAATTTCTAAACTGAATTTAAAATAATTTATTCAATAATCTGGATTGAATTTATCCAATAATCTTTGGAATTCAGAATATTAAACAGACTTTTGAGATTAGATGGAACAAATTTTAGACCACTTGGTGCTGGCGAGCTTAGTATTATTAATCAGAAAATTTGGTAAATTTAAAAGGAAGAAATTAATCAGATTCATCTGGTAATTCCTACAAGAATTCTGGTTCGTCCATTTTCCAACAGACATACTGGTTGAATCTATCAGAAGAATTCTAATTAATGCAACCAGATTTTTTTTTCAGTGCACTGTTTATCAGTTTAATTTCTAACAAACTGAATTTAAAATAATTTATTCAATAATCTGGATTGAATTTATCCAATAATCTTGTTGAAATTCAGAATATTAAACAGACTTTTGAGATTAGATGGAAAAAATTTTAGACGACTTGGTGCTGACGAACTTAGTGTTATTAACCAGAAAATTTGATAAATTTAATAGAAAGAAATTAATCAGATTCATCTGCACTGAAAAAAAAACTTGGAAAAAGGCAAAATTTATTTTGCCCAACTAAATATATTGTCCGATACGTTCAAATAAATATAACTAAAATATTCCGAAATAATTTATTGATGTAAAAAAAGCTTATTCAAATCATCAAAACAGAGAGTTCAGTACAACGATATACATTTACTACAACAGAATATTTTTTTGGCAATATTCAACAACATTTTTTTTTCAGTCTGGTAATTCCTACAAGAATTCTGGTTCGTTCATTTTCCAACAGACATACTGATTCAATCTACCAGAATTCTAATTAATGCAACCATATTTTTTTCTCAGTGTAGAAATGCGAAGACGCAAGAGTAGGATGGCATTGCGTACGTGAAACATGCGTGCGCGTGTATTGTGTGTACGTATGTGATTTGACGTGGGAGGAGGGAGAAGGGGCAGGAGGGGGGAGGAGGTCAGATGACGAGCGTCGCTCGCTCGGTGATGGGAAGGGTAGAAGTTGTCTCGACGCCGTGCTATTTTCATCGCCACGCTGTGGCTGGCCCAGATTCGACACAGCCGTCGTCGCCTCACGATATCATCCTCGCACCCGGGGCCTCACACCCGCGCTTATCTCGAGTGCCAACCCGAGAGGATCTTCTTCGCGAGTTACGGGGACAAGATTTTTCTACAGCGAAAACCATCCATCCGTTAGACATTCGCGGAAAGTCTTGATGGAAATTAACGCGCTTTCGTAATTAGCGATACGAGGAACAGTCGTGGCACTTGTAAAGCAACACGCGCTTATAAAGATTGTGTTTAAAGCGCGCGGATATCGATGCGGACGGAGGAATATGGACGATTCTCTCGGTGCGAGCTAACAAGTGGATTTTAGGTGATTTCGCAAAAGAGCAACATTAAAATGTGACTTTTTCTGCTGGTGTGGTGCGGTGATTTCGTCACGTTGCTACCAATTTCTGATCGCGTGACGATATTTTTTGCTTCGCATTTAGATTATAATTATCTCGGAGAACGCTTTCGTGACCTCGCGGATTTTTTCTCGTCAGATGGTCAGAAGGTAAAGTGAATCAGTTTGCTGTGAAGAAATATCGAATGCCGCATAATCGCTTATTGACGTAAACAATATAAAAAATCTCATTATCCATAAAAAAATATGTAATATGTAGCTACACGTTAAAAAATTGTGCGTCCATATGTTAAAATTTTCTTGTGTTACCACGTTTTATTTTAGGATTTCAATTTAAAATTAACATACAATCTATATGTTATTATTTTTATAACGTTTTTTCATGTGTTACATTTATGTTAATTTCACAACTTAATACTTTGTATATGTTTCTTAGAAGTGGAATATTATTTTTAACATAATCATTTTAAATAATCAACATGTCTCAAAGTCGGTTTAACATTCTAAGAAAAGTTAAAGTGACTCTTCAAATAATCTTGACTTTTGACATCGAAAAATAATCAAATTTATTAAAATCAAATGTTTCTATTACAAATAATTTAAGTTAAAATAATTACTATTACATGTTAATGTCCTCAACATTTCTTACGAGTTATTGTAACTATTTTTTCATGTAACTTTTAATTAATTTATATGTTATTTTTACACTTTGAGTCACAATAACAAAAATAAATGTAAAGTATTGTGTCAATTATTTAACATTTTTAATTTGTCAATAAGTAACATACGACGAATGATTTATTTTAATTAAAATTTAGAATGAGCTTTCTAGGACACATGAAAAATGTTATAATTAACATTTTATTTTTTACCGCGTAATCCGTTTGTCTAAAAGTTAATATTTGTTATTTAATTTTTTTTATTCATCTAAATAAATTTTAAGCGACCGTGTTTACTTGCATGCCTCTATCTATGCGTGCAAAGAGTCCTTTTAACCTAGTGACTAAAAAAAAATCCATTCTTTGCTGCGGATTTCTTTTCTCGCTTGGAAACAGCAAAGTCACATGCATATTATCGATGCTCGAAAATTCGCAGTAAACATGACGTCGGCTCAGCTGTCGAATGTAACGATACGTTTATAGAATGAAGGTTGATGATGGAATCGCCGAATTTCTCGCATTCTTTCGAAATAAATATAATTATACACTTGTGATGTAAATGTGCAAAAGTAGCTATATCATTCGGATGAAAATTGGCACTGTTCGTCGAAGGAGAAAGAGGAGACGTCGTGTCGATATGACATATATTTATTTTCGAGAATCGTGAAGGACACGCAAGTACAAGTAACAGTCACTGAGGGAAAAATTATCTTGAAATAAAAAAATTTTAGTTAACTCAAGAAAGCTATTTATTTGGTGGGTACTAATCACGTATTTACTTGTATTCGAAACGTCGGTTTGCTTAAGTATTTATTTACATATGTTTAAAAAAATATATATGCTTAAAAAAATATAATTTTTAATTAAATATTTTTATTTTTATTTTACAAAATATTTATTAAAATGCATTTTTTATTCTCAAAAATTTTAAATTTAAAAAAATAATATATTTAATTTAATAAATTATAGTATATATTTTACGAAAGTAGTATTTAAATATAAAAAATATATAATTGAAAATAATGTACTTAATATAACATGCATATTTAATTAAAATTAAATGCTTTTGCTTAAATAAACAGTTCCTTCCATTTAAAGCAAAAATTTGAAGGAAACAAATTTATTTGATTTAAAAAAATTTTTCCCTCAGTGTAAAATAAAAAAAATTAGATTCGAGTTCATTTCAATTTCAAGGATTCGATATTTCGCTCGATTCATCAGTTTGCGCGCGCGATTATATTTTCCCGATAAAAAACCGGGGCGATATTTCAGCCATTCCAGCTATTTTATTTTCGAGGCGATCCACGACTTTTGTTTTTCTCAGATATCACGCGTGGACTCATAAATTCCTTCGTGGCTATTATGCAACGCGTCGCGGTGAAACATTATTCTCACGAGATGTAAATTGATACTTGCTGATTGATGCATATCCCGCGCGTGTGTCGCGGCTATCAATTTTCCAGCCTTATTTCCATCGCTATGTGTTTAAATCAAATGACTCGCTAATAAATAATAGAGGCCGAGAAAAGCGCCGATTGTTGCAAACTTTCCTTCGACAATCGCAGATAAATTATTATACGGCACATCCGTATTACATGTATGCACATAATATATATCCGCATGACTCCTGACCCGCGCGATTTCTCTCTCGCATACGTTGTAGCTGGGCACACATGTACGTATCTGCAAATATTTTACATTGACATTCAATCGGATGATAAACAGAGTCTTAGCTTGAACATTTGCTCCTGCTGAAAATTTCCGTTACGTTTCTATTAATAGACGAATGATTGGTGCGAGCGATTTTTGTCGTCTCGTTCCACGCGAAGAGATCCGTTCCTCAATGTCCGCGACGTACCCACAACGTAAATAGAATTTTGTTTACCGCGGGAACCCACGCGTCGTCGGTCTTGTGACACTCCGACAATTCCGATGATGGATGTCTTAAATATCAATTCCGATCATGCGAATTTCCTGCGAACGCAGCGCAGAGCCTCTCAACGTTATTAAGAACGTTACTTGTGTGTTGCGATCTTGCAAATTATGCACGAGAGATATTCCACACGTGCAAAACTCCAACAGGATTGGTAATACTTCAGGTAATATTTCAATTGAGGTCGGTCTCGCTTTTTATGTACATATAACATTTTTACACACCCACGGGGTGTGTAAAAGCGCACGTATACGTAAATTATATATAGCATATATAATTGAAATAATGCATACAAAATAAGGATGTATAGACGAGGGTCATTAACAGGAAGGGAGAAGTAATTAATTGCATTTAATATTAATCACGTATTTTATTATTAATATTAATTGATATTTGGTCATCGTTATTTATAGGAAATATTACAAAATAAATTAGGAAATATTACAAATATTTTATAATATAAATATTTTACAAATATATTATAGGAAATATTACAAAATAAATAAATAAAATAGCTAATACAGATCTTCTATATCCATTTTTTTCTTTCTTTCTTTTTTCTTTTTTATCTCATCATATTTAATCAAATAAAATTAGAAATATTTCCTTTTCCCCATACTGAGAAAAAAATCTGGTTGCATTAATTAGAATTCTGATAGATTCAACCAGTATGTCTATTGGAAAATGGACGAACCAGAATTCTTGTAGGAATTACCGGATGAATCTGATCAATTTCTTCTTGTTAAATTTACCAAATTTTCTGGTTAATAATACTAAACTCGCCAGCACCAAGTCGTCTAAAATTTTTTCCACCTAATCTTAAAAGTCTGTTTAATATTCTGAATTCCAAGATTATTGGATAAATTCAATCCAGATTATTGAATAAATTATTTTAAATTCAGTTTATTAGAAATTAAACTGATAAACAGTGCACTGAGAAAAAAAATCTAGTGGCATTAATTAGAATTCTGGTAGATTCAACCAGTATGTCTGTTGGAAAATGGACGAACCAGAATTCTTGTAGGAATTACCAGATGAATCTGATCAATTTCTTTCTGTTAAATTTACCAAATTTTCTGGTTAATAATACTAAACTCATCACCACCAAGTCGTCTAAAATTTTTTCCACCTAATCTCAAAAGTCTGTTTAATATTCCAAGATTATTGGATAAATTTAATCTGTTAAATATAAATTATTGAATAAATTATTTTAAATTTAGTTTGCTGGTAATTAAACTGATAAACAGTGATGCAAGAAAAGGATGCATCTCAAACACACAATCAGAGAGCTAGGCGTCCTCTTTCTAGCATTACTGCTCGTAAGAGAAAAAAAATACACTTTGAATTTAACGTTAATACTAGTTCTTTATATACATTTCATGGCAAATATTGAATACGAGTTAAGTTAAGAGTGACAAGCAAAGAAATTAATGTAACAAGAAATTTTACAAATCCAATCAGAAAATACTAACCAAATCCTTATAGTAAAATATATTAAATGTTCTAGTTATAAAAAATCGAGTCTTATCATGATAATTAGAAATTCTTGTTTGCTTTAACCAAAATGTCTTCAATCATATAAGTCTTGTTGGTACAATCAAACGATCTTTCTCAGTACATATTGTATGTTTTCACAATATTATATTAACAAATATTTTGCATCTAACATTAGCGTGATATTACATTGCAATCTTTTGGAAAAGATTTAATAACGTTGCTCTGTGCAATCAACAATAATAATAATTGCAGTAATATTGCGTAAAATAATCGCAATTTTCCAGCGAAATATTTCTGCAATCGCGTGCTGTATTCATCTGTTGCTAAAGCATCGAGGCTAAATTACATTTTGACGATGAAGAAGAATATTTAAATACGCATTCGCGCGTTGTTACTATGTAAACAAATCACAGGCGGTTTTTTTTGTAACGCAAATACGCGTGTGATACATCACGACGACGTCGCGTGTACATGTGACAAAAGTTAGCAAAAAGACGCAATAATTTGATTTGCAAAATTGTTTGCAGCAACGTCTCGATATTTTCTCGCCGAATCAAACGAAAAAAAATCTTGCATTTATTTTTCAATCTAGAATTGTTATCATGATTCTTTATATATTATTTTATTATTTTATTATACAAGATATATCCCTCTGCGCCTTATTCTCTTTCGTATTTTACATTTTCTTTTATAAGAGAGCAGAACAGAGAAAATATTTCCCGACAAAATAAAATACTATTATTATTTCCTGCGAGATTACAAACATATGTGTTTAGATTTATACTTTTTTTTCTTTTTTTTTTTAAACGTCCAAAATGGAATTGAAATCGAATCCAAGGGAATTTTCGAAAGATTGTGAAAAACACATGTGTTTGAGTTTCTGTATGTTTCCTAACAAGAGAGTCTATATGGTTACGATCTAAGTAAGCTTATCGAATAAGTGAGATCTCGTTTGTAAATATTGTAATATTTTCTGGCTTTACTTTATGATAGTGAGTCATCCTCGTTTCTCGAACGAATAAAATTTCGAAAAGCCTTACTTGATCGCCTGTCCGACATCTGGCAGCTCTTGCCGATAATTGTTTTCTCTCATCCTCTCTCATTTGCTCTTATTGTCTCGCTCTCGTCGAGCTAGAAAGATTTATGAGGTAATTTTCGGAAGGTAAAAATTCATTGTTTTATGACGAGAGATAACGAGATTTCTACGAATGACAATTATACCACGAGCGCGTTTACATAAAACAAAGAAATATTGTACACTTAACGGTAATCCTTTTATCCTTGATCTCCATTAAATTGATCAAGTTAGTAATCGAGCATTCGCGTATCTGTGTGTTATTTCATGGTAATATCAAATTGGAATTTCCGCAATTTTTCATTATAAGATATGAAATTATACGTTTCTAAGAAATTTTATATCGAAATTGAAAATTGCAATAGCTATTCAATATACAGGATGTCAGGGTAATCTTTTCCCAAACAAAGCTCTTGTAGCTTACCTCGAGAGCTTTTCAAAACACTATAATATTTTTTCATCGAATACTTTTCGAGTTAGTTGAGCTTGAAATAATTTCTTAATTTTTACATAAAATATCTAGTAAAATAATAAATATTTATTTTTCGATTATCTTACCTTAATACTTTTTATGTACAAAATAATGAGAGGAATTAATTGGTGTAAAGAAAAAACACATAATTGTTAATTGTAAATTACATCGTAGGAAATAATATAATTGACCAAAACTAGCCAGAAATTTTTTGTTTATTGATTACAATGAATAAACAAAAAATTTCTGGCTAGTTTTGGTCAATTATATTATTATTTCCAACGATCCTTTGATTAATTGACTAGCGATATTAAGATAATTTATGTTATATAAATTACATATTTTTTCTTATAAAAATATTTTACTAGATATTTTATGGTTTATGTAAAAATTAAGAAATTATTTCAAGCCTCGTAACTCGATGAAAAAATATTAAAGTCTTCTGAAAAGCTCCGAGGTAAGAACTTTTTTTTGCATTTATTAAATGACATATCGTGTTGAAGAAATAAAATACAGTCGACGAAGATGGCAATATCATCGTCATAGATTCAACCTTGGCGACGTTTCACGAAGCTTGCTCTCCTCTCCGTTCAGACTTCATCTGCCAATTATTTCGGTTATTCTCGTGCATGTGGCTGAATGTCGATCGGTCATGCCTCTTTGTGTCAATCAGTCGTAGTTCGTGCATAACGACAGCGTTATGCAAAAGGGGAGCTTTCGCAAATCAATCGCGACGAAAGACCAAGAGGTCAATTTAGAATGCTACCAAACGCAAACTTGGCACAGAACAATCGAAGAAATTGCGATCTATGTCGCGCGTATGTGTATGTGTGCGTGACGGTGTGTACTTTCCATCTAAAAATTATTTTGGTATCTCCTCTTTCGCAGGGTGAGCGATATATGTCGTCGACACGTGCGCGTGTGAAATTGCTTCAATTTACTAAGAAACAAAATTTAATTACTTTGACGAACAATTGTACATTGTAAAAAAAAGTATGTAAAATTACACATATAATCAGTGTAACAATTACGCTATTTATAACGGAAATATATAAATTCATGTACTTTTACAAACATTAGTTTTTTTATTCCTTATTGCGTAAATATTCGATGTTTATATTTGATGAGAAATTACAAGGTTAAAAGAGAGTACTTTTTGGATTTTATGTAAATGTACAATTTTTTGTAACATTTATATAAAATTTAAAAATTACACCTAAACGAATATTTACACAATAACTAATTTTTGTAAAAGCACATGAATTTATATATTTTCGTTATAAATAGCGTAATTATTACACTAATTATGTATATAATTTTAAATTAAATTTAATATGTGAAATTGTATAAATACATATACAAAATGTATTATCACATAAACATTTCTAGAAACCTATTTCTAACATGTAAATTTATTAGTGCAAGATGCTTACTTACTATTAAAGATAATAATTTTAAGAAATGTAAATTTACTAATGTATGTAAATATACACCTTTAATAGTTGGTCTCAATATATTGCCCACTATAATAGTTGTAAATTTACACAAAAATTTTTTACAGTGTAGTAGTCGAGATAAAAGGAGAGATTAATAAGTGTATATTTTTTATACATGCGCCAAGTTTTTTACACATACTCGAAAATTGGCATCGAGCTTAATTTAATTATTATCGTGACGGAAATTTGCAATTGTCACGCACAAGGCCGATAAGATTAGCGCGATGTTACTTTAAGATTATAATTTGATTTGCAATCAAAACTCTATCATCTTTGATTCTTTTTGTTGCAGTTTCCTGGTGAGTGCATCCTCACATACATGGAGTTTCAGTTGGATAGCGCAGAGTATTGCCAGGCTCAACACAAATAGAGAGACACGCCCCATACTCCCTGACAATTATTAGGTACTCTTAGAAGAAAGAGAAGAAGGGTAGAAACATCGTGGAGGGTGAAAAGGAGGATATTGAAGAAGAATTATCACGCACCGGGGGAGCCAGAAAAATCATCGACTAGTCATCACGCAAGACACATAGAAGAATTTAATAGAAATTATTAATTTACATTAGTAGATGCAAGCATCGTAGAGATACTGAGCGCACCTGGAGCACCCAGTGCCAAATAGGTAATAATAATTAATTTTCAACTGTGCATAAATGCGGTTTGCCGCATATCGAGATAAACTTGCAACTTGCTATTTATGATTTCAGGTAATCTTCCGCGAATTATAGTCAAAAAGTCTCAAGTAGGAAGGATAAAGCGCATATCAACACCGCCTAATGTAACGTAGCCCTTACACTTTCGGCGAAGTTCGCACCCCGACAACCCTTCCTAACATCTACATGTAAACCCGTGGTTCTGTCCTCTGTAAAAAAATAAGATATTCTATTAGTTAAATGAAAAACAACTCTATAAGACTGACATTTAATGGGCTAAGTTGTCAAATCCAGCCTTTGTCGCTTCGTATAGTGTGGCACACGTATGTGAGAGACTTTGAAAGACAAGTTATATAAGATCTTTAAGAGAGTTAAAAACAATAAAAGGAAGAAGATAAATATTACAACCATCTCTCCAGCTTAAGGAGGAAATGAGCAACATGAGGGTGAAGGATATCAGACCGGCGCCCGCCGAGATTGAATATAAAAACATGAAGTTCCTCATTACTGATCGGCCCAATGATCAAACCATCCATACCTTTATTCAAGTTAGTATGCAAAACTGTCTTTAGAATAATGCATTCCCTTATATCTCAATTTCATTCTCTTAGTTACCTAATGCGAACTGTGTGTTGTATATTTTTTTAATAGGAACTGAAAAAGCATAATGTGAAGGAAGTGGTCAGAGTTTGCGAACCAACGTACAAAGTCGAGGAACTCAAGTCAGAAGGGATCAATGTGATAGATTTGGTATTCGATGATGGTACATTTCCACCAAACGAGGTAAAGAATCTCATCTTTAGATTCTTCATTAGCGAAAAGACATAATGGAAAAATATGTATTTTTTTCTCTATTCATTTTGTCTATTTATAACAATTTCTAGGTAGTGGATGAATGGTTCGAACTGCTAAAAAATCGATTCCGAGAATCACCTGACGCATGTGTGGCGGTACATTGCGTTGCAGGTCTCGGTAGAGCACCGGTTTTGGTTGCAATAGCTCTCATTGAGCTTGGACTCAAGTTTGAAGATGCTGTTGCTCTCATCAGAGAGTGAGTGATTTTGTACTTTATAACAACTCTTGACTTGCTAAGTATTATTTATTTTGTACAATTAAATTGTGATTTATGTATGACTCTCTATTGTAGGAAAAGACGAGGTGCTATAAACGCAAAGCAGTTGACTTTTCTTGAAAAGTATCGTCCCAAGTCTCGATTGAAGCTCAAGAATGGACAAAAAAATTCTTGTTGCATCCAATAGATCAAAGAATTTTTCAAAGAAAAAGAGAAGAAAAAAAAATGGGAAGAAAAGTCACTAATCCACATACCGATTGATATAAATGTATAGGTTTTTACGCCTGAAGACAAGTGGCATATTGTAGCAAATCTGTTCTGAATGGCCTATCAATGGAAATGCAATCGTGATAAATGTCAATAAACTTTGAGGCACTTTTTTCGCACTAATCATCTATTTTAAATTCCTGAGGCAAGTCATTAACATGTGAATATAGCTTTAAATTGTTACTGGTTCCTTTTAATAAATAATAATCCTATACTTATTTTTGATACTTGATTAATATTAAATTAAATAATTAATATCAAATAATGGGACAAAAATTAAGCCTTGAAATAGTAATAACTATCTTTAAAACACTCAAAAATCGACTTCATTATTGTCATTCAGCCTTAATAATTTCTAAATTATAAGTTATTATTCATATGTGTATATAAATTTATTGTATAAAGTATCTTTGTTCTTTTTCTTGATATAAAAAAAATTAGTATAGTATAAAACATGCGCGCCAAATATAATTTACTTAATTTGGAGAGTGAAAAAAATTAGGAATTATAATTGTAATTATAATGAACATGTGTGCAGTAGTACATTATCAATTTGTTAGCATTTCATCGAAATAACAAGTTATATTGTGTTTTAAAAATATATATAGAAGATATATGTAGAATATTTTTATTATTTATCGGACTTTTATCAGCTGTAATTTAGAGATGTCTACATTGAGTGATTGTAATCATTATTTCAAGATGAAATAATGAGTGTTATTAAAAAAGTAAATAGTTTCTTTACAAGGAAAAATTGTAAAGATCTGTAAAAATATCTGAATCAGAAATTACATTTTTTTAAAACTAAATATATTTAAAAAAATGTCTGCCTCATGTGTAAATGTACTGCTTTTTAAAACGATTTTATATATACATTTTCCACAGAATACGATTGGAATAAAAAAGGAGGTGTTTTTATACAATATATTAGTTGCAACTCTGCAAAGTATAAAATTTTTAAATATTAAGCATCAAATTAATCAAAAATAATTTCTGAGATAAATCAGAAAATACTATAGTAAGGAGCATCAATTACAAGACATGATATTACAACAATATTTGTATATATATTTTTTTTCCTCATATATTACAAAATTATATTATTAATTATAACTAATATTTTAATTAGTAAAATGTTATTAGGCAAAAATGTGATCACGTTTGAAATTACTATTAATATTTTGTACACTTGCCGCACACAAATATTTAATGTGAAACATATGAATTACAGCATTTGAGCTTTGATGCATATTCTGGATCTATAAAAGCAAAAGTTTTTAGCTTAAAGGAGAAAAGGGAAACAACACGTATTGCGTTGCATTTCCAATGGCATGCCGAATTGCTGATGGATGTTTTTAACTCTTATTGGACTTGGAATCTGCGTTAACTTGAAAGATGGATAATGAGAAACTAATGTGAAGTAAATCACTTTCCAGAGCTGTATATCACATTTATCGTAGCTCGACGGCAATTTTACCAAAATCTTTGCATATCTAACTTTTAGTTAGAAATAGATTTTTCAATCTGATATGAGCATTTTATCTCATTGTCGTCTTCTATTTTGGTAAAATTGTCGGTGATGCTGTACGCCACACTAAACTGTGTTCAAAGGATAGAAAAAATTCACTCGTAAAATAATAATAAATATAATACTTAGAACACATTTCACGCGCGTCTGCTGATTTCATGTGAATGTACATTGTTTTGTAATCGTTGTTTTATTATGCCGTCTTTGTTTTCTAACCGTCCTGCTTAACAATAAGTCCGTTCCGGAAGTGAAATCCACACATGACGGTTGTGTAGCAATCGAGTCTGGTTAATGTATATCAACACATTCAGCCATCCAAGCTTAATTGCTATCGGACGACCTCACTGTTATATTTCAGTACATGACAATTACTGCTTATTGTTACGCGTTCGTTAATCATATGCGTACTTTTTATTCCAATGACAATACAATTGACACAATCAATTGATAATCCATTATTCAATTATCAGACGGACGACAAAAGATAATTTAATTCTTAACGTGTGACAATAGGATACATTCACTACGATCGCAGACTCGGATTGAAATTTGAATCTGATGCATCTTTTTTTGTAATATTGAAAACTGCAATATTTTTTACCAGAGGATGGGACGAGGGTTATTCATAAAAGCAAATGATCCAATCTTAGATGCAAAAGTATATTACTTTTATATAGTTTAATCCTAGTTCAATTATATAATTAAGATAATTGGGCACATATAAAAATATTATATTTTTCAAATTAAATTCTTTTCGTAAGACATGTCAATATTTGTGACAAAATAGATATGGTCTTAAAAAAAGTTACCAATATGATTTACATCATTTAGCTATTACTTTTGCACATCGATTCACTTCTTCAATTTGTATAAATAAATTGCTACTATAGCACAAAACGTTTGTTTTATATATTCTGTGATATAATTTTTCATGTGCATAAAAAAAAACAATGTAGAGACTGAGAAGTAGAATAGAATGAGGATTGTTTGAGCTGTGATGCCAAGAATAATGCTCACATTTTTATGTGTAAAAAATCATGGATGTTGCTGTTTTATTTGAAATATTTAATTATAATTTAACATGTGAAAATTATTCCGCTGTGCAATAACGTTTACATATAAATGATACATCTATACAAAATATGGAAAGTTTTTATTTCTCGAAGAAATGAATCGAACTGTTGCAAAAATCAATATTTGAAAAAACAAATGCAATTACATAGTTGAAATGATTCTCTGTTAATAGCTATTTTATGTGAATCCAATTGATCCATTGATATAATAATTTTATGTATTGATAAAGACCTCTTGCGTTTAACATGTCTAATGTGAATATTTGAAGCAAGAACAATTTAGATAGGAAAGAAATCCTCTATTTTGAACCGGCATAATAAAATAAGAACAATCACTCCCTATAAATTGATTAAGCAAGAAATAAAAAATAATGAGTTAGCGCAATTTAAATAAAGATTACTATTTAATTTCTAAATGCAATTTCCTCCACCTGTCATTATATACAATTGCCTTCAATGAAATTAAACAAAACAAAATTATTTTAAGTTAAATATTGTAAACAATATTAATAAAATAAAAAAAGAATGAAAGTTGTTTTGTGATGAGAAAGGAAAACAAAACCATTTTAGAATATTTCTCTTATACTCTGATGGTGTACTGTGTAAAAATAAAATTTCTAACTTTATTCTAGCGAAATGATATCTGTTTCTTTCTTGAGCTATTTCTTTCCAAATAAATAAAAATATTTTAAAGGAAGCTAGTAAATAAAAAAATAGAGAAACCGTATCAGTATATATATAAACAGAAAATTCAAACTTTCATTTCTTTTTGATTTTTTTAAGATATTTTCTTTAACAATACATACATACATAGATATATATAATTAAGTATAAAATTAATTAAACATGTCAAATCCTGGAGGAGGAAAATGATCGTCGTCGGGCCTACGACGACGCGGTCTTAATGGATCCAAATCGGGTGGACCAAACGGATCGAATCTTGCGCCAGGTGGTATTGCACCTCTGCAATATATCTAAGTTGATGAGTCTTGTCTAAATTGATGGTGGGAAATTTATGAGTATATGATATACGTGACATACGGTGGCAATCTTCCAGGTACTCCTAAACCACTGGGTAGACGTCCAGTTGGGGGACTAAATGGGTCGAATATCATACCACCACCTTGTCCAAATGGATCAAGGTCTCTAATTCCTACTCTTGCAGGATCATGTTCAGGTGCACTATATATTTATAAATAAATAAATCACTTGAAATAGTATATATAATAGTGAATAAATGCATAAAACTATTAAAATAGAATAAGATTAAAAGTAGAAAAATAAGTTATCAATTTGCAATAATCCATATTCATGACAAGTCACATTGACAAATATTTAATGCGCACAGTAAAAACATTTTACATATTACAAATAAACATGATAAAATTGAAAGTAGAGCAGAATTTGCATTCTACATTTGAAATTTGATAATTTAAGCTATTTTCAATTATTTAATGTCAAACAAAACTTGTATAAAACTCATTTAAAAAAAATACATATGTAGAAATATTGTATATTAATGAATGTAATTATCCATTCTATTTTAAAAATTGTACTGTCCGTTGCCTTTTCTTTGAAATTCAAGAATCCATATTAAAAAAAATTATATTATATATATTATATTAGATATACACATATATTATCAAATTACCGATGTAATGATGGGTGAGAATCAGGTCCTACTCTCAATGGATCTCTATGTCTTCGGTTTTCATTTGTTTGAGAGGAATCTTGGTTGCTTGATGTGGTTGTTTGAGTTGTCACCTCTTTACTATTTCCAGAATATATTGCACCCAACAAGTCCTTTTGTATGGTATGTAAAATTGTACGATATGATGGTATCACAATTTCTAAAGGCCCATGTAGCGTAGATACAGTTTCCTCAATAGAGAACTGAATATTAGAGATAGAATCGTCATGGTGTCTCTGTGAAAATACAATATCGAACAACATAATTGTATAGTTGCTGCATTTAATTAATTATTTTTGGAATTTAATCTACAAGTATCATAAATTACCACCAAATTTAATAGCAGATCCATATCTGATTTAATTCCAAGGAGTATATATAATTTTTCCTCCTTAATATAACGTAATGTATAATTATTTCGCGAGTTCCAATCTTTTGGAAGCAATTCAGATCCTTTCTCTGATGCATTAAAATTTTTCTAAAAAAATATAAATTTGTCAATTGTAGAATAATTATGCAAGTATTATATATAAGAAAATTTTTAACATATAGTTGTACAGATATATATATATATATTTTTTTTTTTTCTTATCTATTAATCTATATAAATAAAATATATAGAACTTTAAAAGATGAAATTATAAAAATAAACCAATGTCTTGTACGATTATAGGTTAGACTTTTTAAACATATAAAAAAATATAACAAGCACAAAAGATGCTACTACGATGGAAAAATAATAAAAATAAAATTTCGGTATTATTACAAAACGTGACAATATATTGTAAGATATTTAAATCAGGACTTACTTCATCCCCAATTCCAATACATCGAAATCCACATTTGACCAGATACCAGTGTATAAATAAAATTATTACATCTTCTTTTTTATGGATTTCATCGTGATGTAGTTTTTGCAAAAGCTCGAAGCCAAACATATTAGTTGAGTCTGTCATGTTAATATTCACTGATGGATTAGCTTGCAAATTTTTCACAAGCGCACGCCATTACTGACATTGACCACATGACGTAAGATGACATCCACTACCTATATTCAAGTCGCATTTTATTGTTTCAAATTCGCGTTTTAGAATTATATGCAATTCTTGACGAGAAAAATTGCATATAATTCTAAAACAATTAATTTTGTGATGTCAAATTTTTATATTATGTATAAAGTTACAAAAAATGGTCTTCAATTTTTGTAACTTTCAATTGAACTTGACTTATATATTTATATACGCAATTAATTACGCATGTGCGTGGATATATTACGCATGTGTTTATGGAAACTATTGTTATAACATGTATCTAGAAAAAAAAGAGAAAAGGAGAGAATAATGAAAAATATAATTATATAGAAATATAGATATATGCATATATATGAAAAATATATTTATTAACAATCATCAAGATATAATTATGTTAAAATAATGTTAAGGATTGCTAAATGTAGAATTTAAATATTAATAATCGGAATCAGCATCAGTATCCATGTCATATACAGATTCTGATTGATTACCATCAATTTCTTCCTCACTTTCAGGTTGCAATTTGTCCTTTTGATCTAAAGCATATCGCCTCCAAGGAAATCTATAAAGTACAAAATATTTAACGTTTTTCTTATATTTAAAAAAATTATATAAAAACAAATATGATGATACCTTATCTTTTTATCAAAACATTCTTCAATAAAGACATGAGAGACAATTTTTGTATGATTTTTGAACTGCTGGTATTTTGGTGTATTTTTAAAAGCACAGATTAAATAAGTACATTTTTTATTAGTTGTATTTGGATCAGGTATATATTTGGCACCCATATTCAAAGCTTTCCTTCTAATTTCGTCTCTCTGTGGATTAACATATCCACTGAGGGAGAATGTGGCATTACTGAACAATTCTTTGAATCGTTTTTTAGGTTTCACAGAAACATTTGTCTTCAATGTAGTATTTTCCACAGTTACAGGAGGTAGTGGTAATCGTTGACAAGTTTTACACAACTGATCTTGCGAATCCTTGCAACAGTTAGAACATTTCTGTCTTTTCTTTTCACCATTATTTAGTGAATCCCCCAACTTGCTTAAAGCTCTCTTCTTACAAGAATTTTTAGGAGCATCTTTCGTGTCATTTTGGTTAGTATCATTGCTTACCAAAGGTACAATATCTCCAAAAGGAGTTTTAACCACTGTTTTCTCATTTTTTATGTTTCTGTTATTTTTAGGCGTTTTATTCTTATTTTGTGAATCTTGTGGCTGAGTTTTATCATTTTTATCATTTTTTTTAAAAACCTCATCAGCTTCTCCAGCTTCCAACTTTTCTAATAATGGCCTCTTAATAGATCTAGGCTCCTCTTGACATTTAGCAAAATTTTCCATCGAATTTCTTTTTATCTGTTCACGCAACTCATCCTTATAATCGATCTTTTTATTTTCCGTTTTATTGAGAATTTTCTCTTTCATCATCTCCATAGGTGTTTTCATGACATGTGGCTGTTTCAATTTAAACCTGCCAAATACATCTAAGCCTAAATCAACAGTAGAGTCTGATCTTAAGATAATATACGACAGTCCAAATAAGACTTTTAAATTTGCTGATTGCATACAAGTGACTTTGACTCGATCAAATTTAATTTTCAATGTATCTGGATTTAATTCCCTCTTTGTAAATAATTGTACTTGGTCCTTGAACTTATTATTTGCTGCTTCATCATTTGTCATAAACTTGTGATTTACTATAACTATCCAGTTGTCAGGTTCAGATGACGTAGAGCCAGTGACGATTACCACGCAACTCTGAAAATTGCCAATGTCCACTCCCGTGATATAAGAAGGTTCGACCAACTGAAATATCACTTGGGCCAGCATCTCTCCCGGCTTGGCACATCGCCAAGTAGCTTTCCAATTTTCTGAATTGCACTGGAGAAGATTGGCGGCAGGATACGTTGGATGTTCCGAAGAACAGCTTATTATCTTTTCAAATTTAACGATCATTCTTACTAATTCCTGTGACACCTCTTCTCAATGTTTCCAAATCAGGCCATTAATTTTCCACTTTTACATTATACTGGCCAACTGAAAGGCAATCAACAATTTCTAACTTTCTTGTTGAAATTTTAAGATACCGCCAAATTCATACATAACATACATATCTAACATAACCTGCGTCACTCATGAGGTCTGTTCTTTTTAGCTGCACTGCTGCACTAGTACAATAAATTAGAAAGAGACAAACATACTTTCTTTCATTCTAACTAATTGCACTAGTGCAGCAGTGCAGCTAAAAAGAACAGACCCATTGAAACATGGGATAACCCAGAATAACCTTTTCCATATCATCTGTGACCCTTGTACAGGGTGTTTCAGACCACCCGTACCACCCATTTAAAAACTAGAGAAGTGGTTATTTGAAAAAAGTAGAAACATTTTCTTTATAAATCGGGTGCGCTCTATCGAATGGTGATATTTTCAACTTCTGGTTCCGGTCGGAAATAGGTGATTCAGACCGGAAGTGCATTTTTTTAAATGGAACCCCCTATTTTTTATTGCATATTCTTGTAGCTTACCTCGAGAGCTTTCCAAAACACTATAATAAATTATTTTTCCATAAAGGACTTTTCGAGTTAGGCTTGAAATCATTTCTTAATTTTACATAAACTATAAAATATCTTATAAAATATTCATTTTTCGATTATCTTACCTTAATACTTTCATGTACAAAATAATGAGAGGAATCAATTGGTGTGAAGAAAACACAGTTGTTTCTAAGAAAAAATATGTAATTTGCAATTAACAATTCCATATTTTTTCTTAAAAACAACTGTATGTTTTCTTTACACTAATTGATTCCTCTCATTATCTTGTACGTAAAAGTATTAAGGTAAGATAATCGAAAAATAAATATTTTACAAGATATTTTATGGTTTATATAAAATTAAGAAATGATTTCAAGCCTCATAACTCGAAAAGTACTTTATGGAAAAATAATTTATTATAGTGTTTTGGAAAGCTCTCGAGGTAAGCTACAAGAATATGCAATGAAAAATAGGGGGTTCCATTTAAAAAATGCACTTCCGGTTTGAATCGCCTATTTCCGGCCGGAACCAGAAGTTGAAAATATCACCATTCGATAGAGCATACTCGATTTATAAAGAAAATGTTTTTACTTTTTTCAAATAAAGCTTCTCTTTTAAATGGGTTTTAAATGGGTGGTACGAGTGGTCTGAAACACCCTGTATACTCTGTATGTCCATAAACATACAAAATACATAGACGGAACATTAACTGCCAATTGGCATACAACTCACCAATAGAACTGCCACGCTATTGGTAACTGAATAGGGAGTTTCTGAAGTCTCGAAAGTTTTTCTGCTCGATAGCCAATCACGCGAGATGTTCTTTCTTGTTGAAAGAGTACCTATAGATCGGCATATATTTCGTTTAAAGGGAAACCGTCATTTAAAGTTTAAATCCGTTCACCGTCAGCCGTTGTCAGGTTGTCAGATATTGCATTACGTTATGTCTGTAAAAGTATATTAAATAAAATATAAGAAGAAATGAAAAAAACAAGAACAAATTTGAAAGCTGGAAATCCATCCAAGTAATTAAAAAAATGGATTTATTTTTGTTAAGAATTATTTTTTAAGAAAAAGGGACACTTCATCATTATTATAAATTTTATTTTTATAATCTGTAATAATAATAAAGGAACTTAATTTTTTAGCGATACGAAAAATACTGGAACACAAACTGCAGGTTTTGATAGTTTTACTGAGATTATCAAGTTACAAGAACAAGTGAAACAATTACAACTTCAATATGATGTTCTACAGCAATACATGGAAATGTCTAAAAAATGTGACATTACTACACAATATAGACAACTTTACACAGAAGAAACATCGGAAAGTATTGTTGAAAGACATAGTTGTTCCTGTAAAGGAAATTGCTCATCACGAGCGTGTGGCTGTATGAAAAAAGCCATGAAATGCAGTTCTATATGTAAATGTAATGACAAGATATGTAAAAATCAGGAGGTAACATTTCTTATTTGCTCTACAAAATGTCTTTGTTACATGTGGCATTTTTACAAATTTTTATGTAAGAATTAATTTTTTTTAATATAGAAATCAGAATGTGATGGAAATAAGGAAAATATTAACAAGAATGATATGGAGATCCCTAAGAAGCAAAATGATACTACAGAAATAACTAAAAACTTTAGGAGTTTGTTTAGCCCAAATATGTCTGAAACCTATAAAAATGATGACAAATATAAAAAGTCATATAAAGATCTTGAGGAAACACAAATTGATGATATATATTTTAATAACATGAAAGATATGGAAAACTTACAAAGAGACAAAACTTCAAATGTTACAAATAATGTAACATCCAGGAAACAAAAAAAGAATAAGCAACAACAATCAGCAACAAAAATAGACACAACAAATGATACAGAAATAACACCTAATTGTATGTTTTCCAAAAACAATGAAAATGTTACGGTAAGAAATGAAAATTAATATAAATATATAATTTCTCTTAACATTTCAAATTTTTAGTTTACAAATTGCATATCTTCAAAACTTTAATGTATAGATAAAAAATATTGCAGAAAAGAACTTATATTAAATAAATTATACATGTAAATAAATTATACATAAATTATATATGTGTACTATAAATCTTATCAGATTTAAAACTTTTTCGATGTGTTTTTCTGTTTCTAATATAATCACATTTATATATTGCAAAAAATGTACAAACATGAAATGATAATCTGAATATATAATTCTCTTTATAAGTTTCTATTCTTTTATTATAAATTTCTATTTTTAGTTCTATTTTTCAGTAACATGATAGAGTATTTAGAGAATTTAGCCCATTTTTTGCAGATAATGTTTGATCCAATGAAACCAAAACATCAACTGTCACGCACACCACCAAACAGTAAAAAATCAGCAGATAAATCATTAGAAATCAATAACATAACTGAGCGCCAATCACATCATGAGCCACATAATGATACATTTGTACCATCTATTCAAGGTATGTCACTGCTTTCAATTAATCAATTAAATAAATAAATATTGCATTGTTTATATAGATTATAAGATTTATAATATTTCATTATTATTATTTTTATTTACGAATTTATTTCCTTGATTTTATCCATTTGTGCTAATAGTTTTAACATTAATTAAGATATTCTGTTAAAATAAAATCTAGCCAAATTAAAGAATTTAATAAATTCTTATTGTTCATTTATATTTTCTTGCATGTTGAGGTTTAAATATATCAGGCAGAGATTAATAATTATATTTTATGTATAATAAATTTTAGATATAGAAGAAGAAAAGATTGATTGGCAACAGCACACTGCACAACTTATTCCTTGCAAAAAGTGCAAGAGGACATTTATGCCACATCGGATTCAGAAACATGAGGCATGCTGTAAACGGATTTAAAAGAATATATTATAAAAGAATTCTTAAAGGAATCGTTTAGATTTTATATATATGGATATATTGTTTCTTCAATAAATAAGATAATAATTAATTAAAATTAATTCAATAAATAAAACATTTTATATTTTGAATAAATGATAACTTATACTACTTATACTAATGATAAAAAATTGGCAAATATATAAAAAATATATATTTAATAGTTTATTATGATCCCTCCTATATGTTATAATTTTTCACAAGAATGTAATCACTAACATAAACACCTGTTCTAAAAATATATTTATTCTCGACATCTGCACCAGTGTCACACACGAAATTGCATCAATTTGATGTATAGATACATTTAGATGTTTGTTACATATAATTGGTTGTCCAGAGAGCTATGTCGTGAAGAAATTCACTTATGGTTGATCGTCTTTGATAGCACTTTGTCGATGACTCTGTGAACGCGTTCCATCTTTGATACTATATTTATATAATTCAAATCAAACTGTAGATATCAAACTGAAATGGAACGTTTTGCTTATATTTTGCAGCCGCATATTCGAGCTAGTAAAATTAGATTATCATACATAGACGAATTGTTTGTAGATCTCAAGAATAATCCGTACATCATACTTCACAAAAATGTGAGTACAAGAATAAAATTTTATTTATTTTTTCCTTTGTATTTTTCTTTTCTTTTGTAATTTCTAATTCTTTCTATCTGTTTTAGGACCCTGATGAAACAAAGCTTTCAGATTACAACAATGGAAAAAGAGATTTTGACGAACACTTGACAAGTATAAAGATATATTAAAATTTTAAAGTTAGTTATATTCTATTGGAAATATATAAAAATTAAAATTTTTTTAGAACATGACTCACCTCTTAGTGGCACACCTCTGGAATATTCATTTGGTAATTATGAATTTGAGGACACTGTTGTAATAGGACAGACTTGGAGGAAACAAGAGAAGTTATATTTACCATTGAGTAGAAATGATGCATGGTGTGTGTATATAATCAATATAGTATATAATCAATATATATATATATATATATATATATATATATATCTAATAAGATATACATGTATAAATGTTGAAATATTTCTGATATGATTAACATATAATTTCTTTTGTAGTAATGCATTGAATATATGTTTGGAACATCTTGATAATAACACTTTGCCAATATTAGCTCTTTGTGATGGAAAAGATCCTAAACAAAGCAGACTTATTGGTGTCATTGTTTATAAAGATAGGTTTATCACATTGGAAGCTGTTTCTACTGGTATGACAACTCTGGCTACAATAAGAAATGAACGTCAGAAAATTGTACAGGAACATCTTAAGCGAGCATTTGTACAGGAACATAATGTATGTAATATACAATAACAAAATTAACAATTTCAACATTGGGATTGAATAATTTTTAATATCTATAGATTAAGATATCAATGTTTAATAATTTTGACTTGTTTGGAATAAAACAAGAAATGATTGATTGGGAAAAGACTGTCAAAAGTGATTTTGAAGGAAGTATTAACATTGAAGTACATTCAAATAAATTGGTAATAGATCCAAGATCAAAAAGTACTTTGGTATGTATACATGTATAAAATATATCATAAAATAAATATTGTTTTTATACAATTATTTTAAGTAGATCACTCAAATAAATGCTGGATGGAAGAATAGCTCTCTAAAAAAGTTAAATTGCCAATTACTCTTATTGATCCATTATTTATCAATAATAGACGAGTACAAGAAAAATATTGAGATGCAGAAGTCAATAAAATTTTCAACACCTTATGCAAAGGTAGATTTCTGTATCTTTTTGAAATGTTATAATTTTATATTTTTTATATGTTTTCTGCATTATGCATTAATATTATAGGAATATGATGTTATAATGGAAGAATTAAATCTTTTGTTAAATGAAGACTTTAATTTCAAAAGATTTGATAACATCAATGTCAAGGAAAATTACCATACAAATGAGGGAAATATTAATATTGATGCAAAGCTAATAGAACGAGTACAAAATGTATTTTCGAGAGACAATGATTTTACCGATTATTTGTGGGAAATACTTATAAGTAAGTAAACTTTTCATTTGAGAAAAAAAAGTTGATTTATATATATTAATCAACTTTTTTTTCCATATATATATATATATGCTTATTAATTGTACCTTTTCTCTTTTCAACATGTGCAAAAAGAAACTTCAGAGTATTCACAAATAATAAACTGTATTGAAATAATTCTGGAGAAAATTCTTAAACATAAATTTACACCACAGGTAATAAAAAATATATCCTTATTTGTAATTCTATTCTTAAAATATTCTTTTCTCATATATCTCAAATTATTTTTATATTTTCATGTATCATCTCAATGATACAATGATGGAAAATTCAATAAATTTTCACACAAGTTTTTTTTTACATTTATCAGATTAACGACACAAATTCAACAAGATTTATAAAACATATTTCTAATCTGAGTCAAGATACAACATCCTATTTACTAACAGGAAGCGTACCACTAGAACTTGTTGTAGATATGGGATTTGAAAAACTTAGACGAGATTATTTATATATTTTGAGAGGAGCGCGATTTGTTGATTTACACGATGTCCGACAGAAATTAGTCAATATGTCTTCTGGAATCTTTAATATGGAAAATTATAGGTAATACATGCACACATAGAGAAATATTTATCTATAAATTAAAAAGATTAAATTTGATTAACATTAACTGTAATTTTATTGCAGAAAAAGATTGGTTACGTTGGCACAAATTCATCTTTGTTTGGAATGCATGCTACTTATTGAAAGACATTTGGAATGTTCAGTTGAAAGTTTGCAAAGTTTATTTGCTTACGCTTACAAAGAATTTGTTTCTGCACAGTCTCCCCTACAAAATTACACTGAGCTTTGTAATCGAATCTTTACTTTGACGATGCCTCTACCAAAAAAATTAGTTAACGATTTAAACAAAATGTATGTAAATTCAATTTTATAGCAATACTATTGATATAAAAATGTTCAAAAAAAATTTATTTTTTGTGCAAGTGAAATAATATACAATTGCAAGAAATAATATAATAATGTTTAATTATAGGAAATAATAAAACACAAGTATATATATTAATTTTATTTCAGGAATTTTTCTGTATGCAGAACCTCTATTTCGTCTGAATCTGCTGCATTGATGCTAACAACTACTAACTATTACAGCAAAATGCCTATTTTTCCAACAGACATATATCCTATTGGTAAAGCAAATAATAGTTTCAAATATCAATTAAAATTTCTGAAAATTTGTGCTGTAGTATATGATTGAAGTGATTTAATTTATTTATCTATTCTGTTTGTCTTTTCTTTCTTCAGATAATGCAAATACACTGGAGGAAATAATTTATGGTATAAGTGCAACATCATCATCAACAAAGTATAAAAAACTATGAAACGCAACGCTCTTGCACGTTGGAGAAACAAGATAAAATTTCAGAGCTATTTGGTACAATTTTGAATAAATAGAACGTAATAAAAAGAAGATAATTAAAACGTTTAATTAATAATTAATAAAATAAAAATTTTATAAAAGCATTCTTCAAATACAATTACATGTATTAGGTATATAAATATAACTACATTTATGAGTGTTTGTACTCTCAGTCATCGACAATATACACTCGAACATGCTATTAGTCATTCTTCTCCGTGATTGACACAAATCTTATTTCAATATTATATTGCAAAATGTTTTTTTTTTCTTTTTTTCCTTAAGGATTATTTTCAATGTACAAAAGTATATATGATATTTAAAATTTTCGTCCAATAAGAGATAAATTTCGTAATCGATATTAAAAATGAATTTGTTATACATATAATATAAACTTTTTACAGAATGCATAATTAACTACAAATTGATCATTATTATATTCCAATCTTGTTCAATATACTTTGGCGACTTTCTTAAACCAATATCATTTTAAAGCGATAAAAATTCCCTTCCTCGTTAGCCACTAATAAAACATGGCCTTACCTATAAGTAAGTACACAAGTATTAACAACGTATATATATATATATCATTATGGAAAATGCAGACAGCGTGATTAAGGCATATTTTTTTCAAGCTTTAATACTGAGATGCATCTGCGTCATCCATTCCAGAGACACTGGCTTGCTCCAATACCTCGAGGAGCTTCTGCATTTCCATAGAGTCGGACGAGTTGTCAAGCGTTCTTTCCAAAGCTCGCACATACGACATGCATGTTCGTCCTTCGTGGTCTAGATTCTGTGGATTCGCTTTATGCTGTAAAGTTTGATATAACATTAGAGCATGGATTCTGTATATTTGTCTCAACTACAGCTAGAAAAACATACCCATATTAAAAGTTGCGCCATTGCTAAATTTCCGGTTGCGCAAGCAAGATGTAACGGTGTTCTTAGATCTTCTGTGCTAACTGACATATTAATATCCTCGTAATTACATCGGGCCAAGCATAATGTGAATGCTCGCATATCTCCTCTGTATATTTCGAAGATATAAAGATTACAAGAAGGTATTCACAAAATTAATTGATATTAGATTTCATCCATTAAATAAATGAAGTTTCTCACCGACAAACGGAATCGATGAGCAATTTTCCTAAAGAAATGTTCGGATTAATCGGCGGCAAAAACAGCTTGTCTTCGTACTTCCATCTGATCCATTGTTCTTTCTCTTCCCTAGATGAATCCGAGACCGGTTTTTGCTTTCCATTTAAACAATATTCCCAGATACTGTTGGCTATATCGTTGCCGAGGGCTAGCATGACGCTCAAGTGACCTGCACTAAAATCATTGTTAAAGATGTATTTTTAAGTAAAGAACATACCACAGGAGACGAATTTAATTGAACGCGTGTTATATAACATATTACAAAGTTTTACATTATACTTACGACCAGTCATCCAAATCTAATGATCGAACTTTAGATATGTGTGAACCTAAGTTTCTGTGAATACCAGAACATTCGATACACATCAACACACCCAAATTAAGACTGGCCCAATCGGGGTCTAAAATAGAAAAAAAGATGTGATTGACGTTATACAATTGATCGCTAATAATAATAAGAATAAAAAATAATAAATTTTATTAATTAAAAAAAAATTAATAATAAGAAAAAAATCTCCACTCACTCGGTGCACCACAATCGACGCATGCATCATTTCCCGAAACTTTGTTTTTTATACAATGCATCTTAAATGCGTCGGTTTCGTTTTTCTTATCACCGTCGCTATTCTGTAAACTTGATAATATTTGTTGTTCTATCGCGGCAATCCAGTTGTCTCTATCTTCAGCATTGTTTGCCTCAAAGTGCCAAGTCTTGTTCTCCAAGGAGATAATAGAAAATTCGAAACTGTCTTCTGAAAACGATAAATCATATTTTATAATGGTGAAAAATATATTAAAAATGTTAAATATACATGTAAAAGACAAAAAGAGATATACCTTGAGCATTATAGGACTTGGAACCTTTTGGCGTTTTACCAGGCACCTTCACAGTAACATATTGTAAAAGTATTTCTTTACCATTAGTATCGTCCATATAATCCTAAAAATACCTTCTTGTAAATAAATCACATAAATGCATAAAATAATAGTTTTTATGAAATAAATAATTACATGTAAGCTTGAATGATACGTTAAACGACCATCTTCTAACAATGTAACATATTTTTTCTTCCATTCCTTCAAAGATTTGCTACTTCGTTTAAACAAATAACCTTGTTTAACTGGTATTTCTCTACCAACACCCATTTCACCCATGTATTTTTCTTTTTTAGAAGGCGTAAATATATTCGATTTTCTTCTAAATTTCCTGAAAAATAAAAAAACATATACTGTCAGGTATATCAATGCAAACATTTGGAAAAATCTAAAAAAAGAAATTAAAAAAAGAAAAGTGTATCATATTTAAACCTAATAGTGGTTGGAGTTAAAATCGACGATCGTAGTTCTCCATGTTGATTTTGCACATCATGAAAATTATCATTCAGCAATCCCGAATCGTTGGGCACAGAATTGTTATGAATAGATCGACAATCTTCGTCTTTTTCCGAAATCTATCGAAAAATGAAAAGTTATATTTTAATAATCTTGTATAACGTTTAATGATTTGATGGGAGGAAATATAAAAGCAGTAGAGAAAAATTATTCATACTTACTTTCAATGAATTTGTCTCCACCTCTTTGTTTTGAAGTTGTACATTTTTGGTAGCAACGGGGACTGGAAACTTAATGTCATTCTCTGCACTGTGTTGACATATATCACATGGGAAATGTTTCATTGATATATTTCGTATAATTTTTTGACACACTAAAAAATTAATTTACTGTTATTAAATATAATGTGATGCAGAGACATGCAACATGACATATTTATATGTTTACTTTACATGGTAATATGTATACACTTAAATTTATTTTTTTTGTAATCATTCTTACCATCTTGAAATACTCTCTCAACATTTAAACCATAAATAGCGCATGTTTCATAATAAGGGCATCTTAAATCACTAGCCAGTTTTCGCGGCCTAACATCTTTTATGACACGAGGATTAGTGTCATTAATCGAATCTAAAAAAGTAGTTTAGCAAAATGATATTTGTAATAAGTAAAAAAAAAAAAAAAAAAAAAAAAATAGAGGAAATGTACACTCTGTATGCGCACAATGTACGCACCTTGTACACCTACAAGTATTTTTGGTACCTCTGACATATTCCGGAAAGAACACATTCTATTATAAAAACTGCAAACTATAGAAAAACTCTCTTCATTTTCTAAACTGAATACAAGTAATAGAGCATCTATCCAAGATGAAAACTGAAATCAACAAAATATCTATTATTGTTAAATCTATCATCAAAGCAACTAGCTCTATTATCATACTATTTTAATATGCAAAATAAAATCAATTTTTTGCATACTTGAGCCTCTGGCACACCACCTTCATCTCTGATCAAGAGCAAATAACTCTGATCATTTATAAAAATTTCTTTTTTAAAGCGACCACCTTCTGGCGATTCCTCGTGCATAAAGGAACCAGTGAGGTACCTGTGGACAAGAGCCGATTTCCCCGAGTCTGAAGAGCCAATAATTCCCAAATGCAATTCTGGGACATCTCTCGCCAGGGTCCATTCATGACTATTGACAAAGGAATCTGAAGAAATAAGAATTCACATTTTGTGTAGTACAGCAAAAATCTTAATCTGATATTATCATTATTAGTACTGTTATTAATACATGTTAATCGTGATTTTACAAAATGAATATTTGTGCTATTAAGGAATATAAAAGTATATCAAATATATATATATATATATATATATATATATATATATATATAAGGTGTATCGTAACATGTGGGGCCCACTTCAGGGATGAATAGGGAGAACACCAACAATGAAAAAGTTCATATTAACATCCTATCCTATATGACCTTGTTACAAAGTTACAGGACGTTTAATATTTAAATAATAAAATCTTAGACGAAAGATTTCCACGAAAATGGATAAGTCGTGGAAGACTTACTGCCTGTCCTGCTCGTTCCCAGATTTAAATCCATTAAATTTTTATCTGTGGGGCCATTTGAAGGCAATTGTGTATTCTGCACCCATTGCCAGTGTTGAAGTTCTATTTGTACATATACAAGAAGTTTGTCAACAGATCCGACATACACTTGGAATATTTGAAAGAGTGACAGTCTTTGATACAGAGACTGCATGCTTGCATTCAGAGCGGAGGCCATTTCGAGCATCTTATATGTATGTAATTGCTGGTTATTTAAATATTAAACGTCCTGTAATTTTGTAATAAGATCAAATAGGACACATGTTAATATGAACTTTTTTCATTGTTGGTGTTGTCCTATTCATTCCTGAAATGGGTCCCACATGTTACGATACACCCTGTATATAAATGTGTGTGTGTGTATACACATATATACAGGGTCACTTAATTGGCGCCCACTATTTATATAGCGATATTCCTCGTGGAAAACTGAGTCGAAAAGTCCTGAACCATTTTTTTCTATAATGAAAAAAATTTGAAATCATTTTTTTCTTCTATAATGCAAAAAATTTTATTTTGCATTAAAAATCATATTCCTTTCGTTAAAAGCGTTTCCTTAACAAAAATTTCGTCAAGGAGGCTAAAGATCGATGCTTATTGGCGCAACTTTATTCAATAATTACCGCTTTATTAAGCATTATAGAAAAAAATGGTTCAGGACTTTTCGACTCAGTTTTTCACGAGGAATATCGCTATATAAATAGTGGGCGCCAATTAAGTGACACCCTGTGTGTGTGTGTATATATTGTATATATACACACAGGATGTCCCAGTTATCTTCCGTCATCTTTCAAAGACAGATTCCTGGGATCATTTGAAGACGATTTTTCCTCAGCGAAAACGTCAATAAAGACCATCATTTTTTGCATGTTCTCGATTTTTGTCATCATATATCTTTGCAATTAAGTCTTAAATTAAAACTCAACTAAAGTAAACTCTATTTAAAATTAATCGAAGAATATAATTTTGTTAATATTTTATTTCTACAAATCTTAGTTTACGAAAAACCCCTTATTTCCAATGACTTATAATTCGAAAATTATTAGTGTCTCGACATTTTCGTTGAGGAAAAATCGTCTTCAGATGATCCCAGGAATCTGTCTCTGAAAGATGACGGAAGATAACTGGGACACCCTGTATATATATGGATGCATATACGCATACCTTCTATCGCCACGACGTGCTCGCGAATTTGCTTGGCGATGTGCGCGTCGGACACGAGTTCTATTAGGTCGTAAATGGCATAAATCGAGGGATGGACGCTCTCGAAACGTTGTATTTCCTGCCTGATAGCGAGAGAGTGATCGTGTCCGCTCTGGGCAGTTGTCATCTTCTCGACGTCCGATTTTCCTCGGCGATGGTCTATCACATTAACGGCATAGCTTCGAAGTGCATCGCGCGAACATCACCGAAGACGGAAAAGTTTGCGTAAAAGTGCGACGAGGTTGTCGTCGATCTCGCGTAACATATGTCAAATCGGAATATTTATAAACATTACCGTCGTTCCCTCGAGATCGGCGAGGTTGGTTAGGTGCCCGCACTCGCGATCGAAAGCAAACGCCCAGTTCTCATGGAGATTGTCGCGTACAAATGTCTGAACAACATGGCCGACTTCATTCACTTGCCATTTGTGATCACAAATTGGAATTGTTCTAAAATTCGCTTCTTGAAACAGAGTGACGTTTAACCAATCAAAGCAGGGAAATTTTCTTTTCTTTGCTCCCTTTGTCCCGATTGGTCAATCGAACGCCACTCCAAGAAGTAAATTTTAAAATAAAATATAAAATATAGAAATTGGAAACGCTCGACTCTTTTGGTCTTGTCTATTATTTATCAGAATAATCAACTGTGATTGGCCTATTTGCTTACGACTTGCGATTCATTGTAAACGAGCCTTTATTCGACGCCCATCAACGTCAAATTTATGTTACCGAAAAATGATCTTCATAATAATTGATTAATCACATAATGATGATTCATTCTACTATTACCTTTTAATTATTTATTGAAACAATAACAAATTCAGCATAGTAATAATTATATAAAATTATATAAATATATAGTAATAATTATATAAAATTAAATAATAATTATATAAAATTATATAAATTATATAAAATAAGTAATATACTTCTAGAAATATATAACATATGTAGAATATAACAAATTCAGCATAGCAACAAATTCATAATAACAAATTTATAATAACAAATTCAGCATAATAATAATTATATAAAATTATATAAATTATATAAAATAAATAATATACTTCTAGAAATATATAACATATGTAGAATATCTTTATTTTTAGCCACGTAATGTCTTTTAATACGTCGGCAGCCTGAAAAGGCGCCTTAACGACCAACCAACGTTTCGAAAATAATCGCAAGTTCGAACAATGACCGTATTCCGAAATTGCTGCCAGTTTACTGCCAGCACTGAAAATATATAATGGGTCTGTTCGTTTTAGCTGCACTGCTGCACTTGTGCAATTAGTTAGAGTGAAAGAAAGTATGTTTGTCTCTTTCTAACTTATTGCACTAGTGCAGCAGTGCAGCTAAAACGAACAGACCCAATTAGAGAACCTCTAGGAGAGAGAATGGACAACTGATCAAGCTTTTTCATGATTGGCTGGCAGAAAATGTATCAATTTTAGCTATTGCGACGCCAATGCAAAATATGATGACACACAAATAGGACACACATGACACACATATATTAACCTATTTGTGTGCATCATATTTTGCATTGGCGTCGCAATAGCTAAATTGATACATTTTCTGCCAGCCAATCATGAAAAAGCTTGATCACATGTCACATGATCAGTTGTCCATTCTCTCTCCTAGAGGTTCTCTAGACCCAATATACGTTACGTGCACTATAGAATTTGCAGTACTGGCAGTAATTTCGGAACACGGCCAATATTTAGTGCATTCGAAAATATCTTTGGTTGGTGTTGGGAAAAAAGATAAAGTTGGCAATATTGAAAACTCCCATTGGGATTACTAGGATTTAAAAAATTTGCTATTTGAGATATTAAAAGAGATAAATAAGTAGTTAAATATATTTTATAATAATATGTTTAATAACATCACATATATTATTATTAATACGAAAGTGTGTTTTATATCAATAATGCTATAATTATAATAAAGTGATATGATTTACCTAAAATGTGATTATAGGCCGATATTCATAGTCCGATCTTATATTTAAGATCGTCTTAAGTCTGCTTGGAAGTTGACTTAAGACCTCATTCAACCAATCAAATAGCTGCGTAGCATTTCAAGCTCGAACTTAAGATCTCAAATATGGGTGCTTTCCAATTGTTTAACACATCTTAACACAAACATACACAGGAAGGCACAAAGTGTAGCGATGTGCACGACTCAATTGGAACAAAGTTAATGTGCGACTTTCGAGTGGAGGGTTAGGATTCTTCATAACCATGTCCATCTTGATATTTTTTAATCCATGCTGAGGGTGATAGCATCGATATATAAAATGGATTGACCATTGCGTGTAGACAGGCGTCAGCCCGCGGTGAAGAGAGAGATACTACATGCGAGGCCTATGTCTGTCTCTTTTGCTAGTATCTCATTGGTAATTTTTATAAATAATATATAAATAAAATATATAAATGCATATTATATTAATATATAAATATGAATGAAAATTTAATCAGTAATATATCTAACTTGCAAATATGCAAAAGAGACAATTTTATTTTATTTATTAAATATAATAAAAAAATTAATTGTACAAAAACTCATTAATTTGAATTACTTACTTCAATGATACTTTTAATATTTTTATTGTTCATTTTTGTATTTGTATGGTGTACTTTAATGGTTGTCTTTTAATTAAAAAGGATAAAACGAAAAGAAAATTGCCAACATAATCGCCGTCAGTCTGTAACCGCATATTTCATTTGTCCCTAGAAAACAGAAGGTTACACAAGTTGACTAGTAGCCCTCGAGCTGAGTACGGATGTGTAAAGTTGTGTCGGCAGTTACGGCAATTGGAACGCGACTTGTGTCGCCGTGTGCATAAAAGTGTCTAGGGATATCTCAATTGGAAAGCACCCTATATTACGATCTCAAATATAAGATCGGACTATGAATACCGGCCTTAATGATCCCAGTGGGAGAAACGAAACGCAGCACTGGGAGTTTTCAATACTGCCAACTTTATTTTTTTTTCCCAACACCGACCAAACATATTTTCGAACGCACTGATTGCTTTTGCTGCGGGCGCGGCCACCAGATTCTCCTAAGAAATTTAGGGGAATTTTATAAAATAATTTCGTAAGATCAGAGGAATTTCGTTTACACTGTAGTCCTCTGCATACGTGGCAGGAGAATTTGCGGTCGGAAAGTTCCGGAGCCATTCGAGGTTGAGATTTTATGCGAGACAGTCTGCGATTGTCAACGAACTATAAGCTTCACAATTGCGGCGCAATTGCTAAACTGTTATCAGATCAGTATCACCGGCAAGTAATTTGAGGAAAATCTGATTTTTCAAGACGCTCACTTGAACTAAAAACAAGATGGGTAAAGGAAAAGGTACTTGTTATTGTTTTATATCACTGCTGTAGGTATTTCGCAAGTTGACTTTCACGTAGGTGAAATTTCGTATTTAATAATTGATTAACATAATGATGATTCATTCTACTATTACCTCTTAATTATTTATTGAAACAATAACAAATTCAGCAGAGTAATAATTATATAAAATTATATAAATATGTAGTAATAAAAATATATAGTAATAATTATATAAAATTATATAAATTATATAAAATAAATAATATACTTCTAGAAATATATAACATATGTAGAATATATATTTGATTTTCATATGTAATGTTATATGATCATCTCAATATTATGGCAGCAAATAAAAGTTTGCAAAAGCTGTTTGTATCGCTTGTACTTCTTATACTCAGTGTCTTTCTCTCTCTCTCTCTCTTTCTCTCTCTCTCTAATGCTTGAATGTATATTTGTCATTTTGAGTGCAAAGAGTTTTGAGGATTTCAGCAAACACAAACACAGACTTTAGTAATATATGAGTACATTATATTAATTATCTATGACTACATTATATTAACTATCTATTGATATACATGTTTGTATTGATAGAAGAAAAAAAGAACATTTATTTTAAACAAAAAACTTATATTTGATCTTTTTGATAGAACTAAATGAAGATCCAAATATGTATTATTTAATATTATTATCTAATACTAGTGCAAATTGTAAAACTTGATTAATATAATCTGTTTAAAATGAATATAGAAAAGATATATGAGATTATAGGGAAGAGATATAGGAAGATAAGAGATATTGTAAGAAAATAAGAAATATTGTAGGAAAAAAGAAGAAGCAAAGCACTCAGAAAGAAGAAGCTGCATCAACTACAAGAGATACTTCCAGTGAGCAGTTACAAGAGGGATCAGCCTCAAAAGAAGAAACTGCATCAACTTCAAAAGCTGCTTCCAGTGAGCAATTACAAGTGAGATTACCCTCACAGAAGAAAGAACAAGTAGCTCAGCGTTTGCCACAAAAACAGCAAGTACCACCAGGTCCACCTCAACAATCTCAATTTCAACCTGAGCTACAAGGAGCATGGGGCAAACCACAACAAGCTCCACCAGCTCAACAACAACAAGGAGCACAAGGCCAACCACGACAAGCTCCACCATCTCAATCACGACAAGCTCCACCAGCTCAACAACAAGAAGCATGGGGCCAACCACAACAAGCTCCACAATTTCAACCACGACAAGCTCCACCATTTCAACCACAACAAGCTCCACCATTTCAACCACGACAAGCTCCACCAGCTCAACAACAAGGAGCATGGGGCCAACCACGACAAGCTCCACCAGCTCAACAACAAGGAGCATGGGGCCAACCACGACAAGCTCCACCAGCTCAACAACAAGGAACATGGGGCCAACCACGACAAGCTCCACCACCTCAACAACAAGGAGCATGGGGCCAACCACGACAAGCTCCACCATCTCAACCACGACAAGCTCCATCAGCTCAACAACAAGGAGCATGGGGCCAACCACGACAAGCTCCATCAGCTCAACAACAAGGAGCATGGGGTCAACCACAACAAGCTCCACCAGCTCAACAACAAGGAGCATGGGGCCAACCACAACAAGTTCCACCAGCTCAACAACAAGGAGCATGGGGCCAACCACAACAAGCTCCACCACCCCAACAACAACAAGGAGCATGGGGCCAACCACGACAAGCTCAACAGCAACAACAAAGGGCATGGGGTGAACCGCAACAATCACGAGCCCCACCCCAACAACAACAGTCAGAAGCACGACAACAAGTTCCAAGTAAAGTATTCTTTCAATGTATATAATTGGAAAGAAAAATATCATTAAAATATTTTATATAAATAATACATTGTGTATTTGTGAATTTTTCTATATATATATATATATATATATATATTTATATATATATATATATATATAGTGTGTGTGTCATAATATATACATAAATTTATATTATTAGCTATCTAAGTCTCTGACTATGTTCTGATATAAACTGCCAGTACTGAAAGTCTACAGTATATGTGACATAAACTTATAGATTTTCAGTACTGACAGTGAATATTGGAACACAATCTTTGTATATTAAAAATTATGGATTATATTTAGAAGGTTTAGTGACAATTATCTTGATCCTATTGCACACACATACACATGTGTATATGTATACAATTGTACTTTTACTTTTTTATAGTTATTACTGGTGCTGGTGATGCTAAATTAATAACTGACAAAAGTAAGATGCATAGTGATGTTGACAAACAACAACAAGCAACAACAAGTGTAGAATCAGAGGTATAACAATTATGGATTAATTATTTATATAGTTATGAAGAATATTTGTTAAATAGATTTTGATATAATATCTCATTCTCTTTCAATTAGTAAAGTAGATTTTTAATCAGATTTTTCTTTGTTTTTTTTTTAGTTTTCTCAAATTTCACTGAGAGATCCATTACAGTCAACAAAAACTTCTCAAAAAGCAAAAATGACATCTTCTGCAATGAAACAATACCAACTAGCTATACCAAAAAGGAAAAATATTATGAAAGCTGGAACAAAAGGAATACCGATTCGTGTTTATACAAATTTGTTTGAAATTATATTTGGAAAAGACTTTGTAACAAATGCTGTTCATTATGATGTAACCATTTCACCCATTGCTTCAAAAGCTATATATAGAAAAGTTTTTGAAAAATGTAGGGTGAGTAAATTTCACAGTAGATATCCAGCATTTGATGGAAAAAAAAATGCATACAGCGCAAATGATCTTCCTTTTGGTGATTTCGTAAGTAATATACAGCATATATGTGCATATTTTTATAGTAATTATATATAAAATAAAATTTCTGATTTTACTTGTTCAATTCTGGAATATAAGCTACAGATTACAAGCTATAAATACTCAATAAATATTCAATATTTTATTTTATTTTACTCATCTCTTAATTGCAGTAAATTTTTTTATTCTATTTAGATGAAGGCTGAAATGGAAATTTATATTGATGAAGAAAGTCAAAGAAGGAAGACATATACAATTAGTTTAAAAAAAGTGGCTAATATCGATCTTAGCTGGATAAAACACTTGCGACCTGGTCTTGATGAAGCTGACAGAGATCAAACTGGTATACAAGCTTTGGATATCATCATGCGTCATGCACCCGAATCACGTTCTTTAAGCGTAAGCATTTAATAATAATATAATTGTAATTGATATACTAATTTTTATATGATTTTTACAAGCAATATACAAAAAGATAATTGCATTTTTATAAAGTTACATCATAAAGAAATATATGTGTAATAATATATAATATAATATTGCTTGAATATAAAAATATAATTTTTTTTTAATTTATAGTTTATAAAATGATTTATAATATGATTTAATAAAAAGAAGAGAAATGTGTGTATGTGTATGTGTGTACAGAATATTTGATAAAGATTTTTTAAGAAGGTGGACTAACATTTATGAGTGGATACAGAATGATAAAAGTATAATTGAACAGAAAAGTCCATTTTGTAATTTTTACAATAATTATTAAAATGTTAATTAAAGAGTTGACTAATGAGTGTGTCATGCAATTAGACAATGGGATGTGTGTTCTAGGCGTGCCAACAGTTATTGCACAGCACGAAAAGCAAGAGAATGCGCGACCATACTTTTCATTGTTAAGTAATACTCACTGCTAATACCTCTAAAATATACATTCCACAATCTAGATGCATGAAACGTACGGTCATTCGTTGAAAAAATTTATTTAAAAATTGTAAAATAATAAAGGGTTTTTTTTGCAGTTTACTCCTTCATGAGCGTTAGTCCAAACTTTATCAGACACTCATGTATATATATATATATATATATATATATATATATATATATATATATATATATATACAGTGATGGGAAAAAGTTCCGGGACGGCTTTCCAAAACACTATAATTAAGTACCTTTTTATTAAGTACTTTTTGAGTTATAAGGCTTGAAATAATTTCTTAATTTTACATAAACCATAAAATATCTAGTAAACCATTCATTTTTCGATTATCTTATCTTCATACTTTTATGTACAAAATAATGAGAGGAATCAATTGGTGTAAAGAAAACACATAGTTGTTTCTAAGAAAAAATATGTAATTTGCAATTAACAATTCCATATTTTTTCTTAGAAACAACTATGTGTTTTCTTTACATCAATTGATTCCTCTCATTATTTTGTACATAAAAGTATGAAGGTAAGATAATCGAAAAATGAATGGTTTACTAGATATTTTATGGTTTATGTAAAATTAAGAAATTATTTCAAGCCTTATAACTCAAAAAGTACTTAATAAAAAGGTACTTAATTATAGTGTTTTGGAAAGCTCTCGAGATAAGCTACAAGAATATGCAATGAAAAATAGGGAGTTCCATTTAAGAAATTGAAGGTAATCTTTATGTGACCTTCAAATGACTATCCAAGGTCAAATCTAAGGTCACCGTCGGATTGCCCGAGAAAAATCCTACAACTTTTGTCTAGGTCATTTTCCTCTGTGATGCGTATTTTTCAAATTATCCAGCCGTCCCGGAACTTTTTCCCATCACTGTATATGTGCATTGTACATGTGTGCATTTTAGATATATTATATATTATTATAGGTTGGAAAATCATTATTTTGGGAAATAAACGATAAGGAACCATTAAGTGGTGGTTTAAGTCTATCGCGCGGCGGATTTATGTCTGCTGTGCTTGGCTGGCAACCTTATATAAATATAGATGGTAACATATATTAAGTGATATATCTAAATGTATGTATGATACCAAGGCTTAACAAGAATTTTTGAGTTGTAAATTATTTCTATTTTACATTAAATATCTTTGTCTGTCTATATGTGTAATATTTATTGTCTATATGTGTAATATTTATTGATTATGTCTCGACTTTTTTTCTAGTTTCTCATAAAGGATTTCCCAAATCTCAAAACGTGGTCGATTTAATGGCAGAGTTTACGGCAGTAAGAGGTCGGATCCCGACGATTCCAGATCCAGAAGAAGTGAACAAGAGATGGAATCGGGAGAAAATTGAGAAATTTTTGAAGGGTTTAAAAGTAACTTATGAAATACCTAATGGTCGTAGTGGTACTAATCACAGTACAAAACGAACATATCGCTTGAATGGATTAGGCCCAAAAGCTAGCATGCACAAGTTCAATAGTGCTAAGGAAGATGAGCCAGAAAACATACAAACAATAGTGGAATATTTTGCTGAGCGCAAACACTATAATTTGCGTCATCCAGATCTGCCTTGTCTTTGGGCCGGCGCGATGGATAGGAGAGAAAAAATTTATTTACCCGCTGAAGTGCGTAAGCAATTTTATATTTGTTATAATTGATTGAATAATATTAATTGAAATATCGCATCAAACATTTGCAGTTATGTACCATTGTGGCTGGCCAGTCTGTTAACAGAAAGTTGGACGAGATGCAAACTAGCAAAATGATTAAATATGCGGCGACGGATGCACCTACTCGTAAGAGGAGAATAGAAGCTGCGGTAAGTCAGATTTCATAACATTTGCATTAAAAATATTACATCATAATTTATGATAAGATTTTATTATTATAAATTGTGACGTAATACAATACTAAAGTCTTTATTATAATATGTTTATAGTTTACAAAGATTGATGTGAATACTAGTTCCACTATGAATCAAGAATTTCATCTATCTATAAGTACAAACATGAAAGAAGTAGATGCTAGAATTTTACCTGCTCCGGTGTTACAATATAAAGCAACAACGGCAAGAGTGAGTAAGGGAATATGGCAGATGCAAGCATTTCAGACAGCTTGTAATTTAGAAGAAAAATCGTGGACTATTCTCGATTTGACTGACTTTAGAGGATTGGATACACTTATACGTGATTTTATAAACTCATTGCAACAATGTGGTTAGTAGTATATGAAAAAATAGTTAAAATATTGAAATTTTCCATTGTTCTATGGACAATTTTATGAAAAAAATACAATATGTGTGTGTATCTGTCAATTTATATTGAATCGTTTATTCCATAGCAACGGAAGTTGGTATGACTATTGGAAATCCTCAGGTTCCATGGAAAAGTTTGAGACCACAAGCTCACGCAGAGATCACAGAGTACTTTAGATCAAAAAAGGGTTCAAAATTGATAATAGTGATTATACCAGATCGTACAGATACAACATATGGTGAAGACATAGTTTTTTAAAAATATTTTCATATATACTCACATCTTGAATTTCATGAAATTATTTATATGTTTTAGGCAAAGTCAAACAGATTACCGAGTTATCATTAGGTATTCTAACACAATGTATAAAGCTTCGGACTATACAACAAAGAAGTTATTCCGCGGTAAAAAATATTCTTCTTAAGATAAATTCGAAATTAAATGGTATTAATCATACACTGACTACACAATCTATGTAAGTACTTGTTTTTTACTATTTCATGAGACAATATAATTTTTAATAATTTTGTAAAATGATTTTTTCTTTCTTTTTTTTTAGACCAGAATGTTTAAAGAAGAAAGATTGTATGCTTGTTGGTGCTGATGTGACACACCCATCTCCTGATGCCATCAACATACCCTCTATAGCAGCAGTGAGTATAACTATAATGTACGAGTATAATGCACTAAAGTATAATATACTAAGCAATGCTTTTTTATTTTATATGAGTATGTGTATATACACACACATACACACACATTAAATATATTATTAATTTAGGTTGCTGCAAGCAGTAATGATTCCGCTTTTCAATATAATATTGCACTTAGACTGCAACAACCTAAAGAAGAAATGATCTTAGATCTTGAAGAAATAATAATATCGCAATTGAATATCTATCGACAGAAAATGTCATATTTACCTAAAAAAATCATCTACTACCGGTGTGTATTATTTGTGTGCATTGGTTACTTAATAATATCATTTGATATTATGTATAACATTTATAAATACTGCATTTTTTATCATACATATATAATTACACATTTATATTTTAATATATAGAGATGGAGTCAGTGAAGGACAACTTGCTCAAGTTATGCATTTTGAAATAAACGCTATTAAACGTGCATGCACAAGAAGTAAGGCCGGTAATATTCAAATTACTTGCCTAGTTGTTCAAAAGAGACATCATGTGCGTCTCTTTCCAACATCTGACAGGGAAACAGACGACAGAAACAAAAATGTGAGAGCGGGCACGATTGTCGATACTGAAATTACTCATCCAAATCACATTGATTTTTATCTTGTCTCACATGCGAGTATTCAGGTAAAATTGTTGATTGAAAAAACTAAAACTTTTTTTATATAATTAAATATATTTTAACATTGAAGAAAGACATTGAGCAAATTAATAGTAAAACTGATGTAATAATTAAATTGCAATTAATTTATGATATCAGTTAACATAATTATAATAATCAAAGTTAAGAAACAAATCAAAATATATCAAATTTATGCAAATCAAAAGAATCAAATTTGTGCAAATATCATTTTCAATCATTGAATAAAGTTTATTTTAAAGTTTATTATAAATGTAGGGTACAGCGAGGCCTACTAAATATAGATGCATATGTAACGAATCTGATTATACTGAAGATAATATTGAAGAATTGACATATTATCTTTGCCATATGTATGCGCGTTGTACAAGAGCGGTAAGCTACCCAGCACCAACTTATTATGCTCATTTAGGAGCTTACCGTGGAAGAGCCTTGATACAAGGGTAAGTGATCTATTATAGTATAGATAGTATAGATCATGGACATTGATTATAATTTTGACAATTTGTGTGATAATATTTCTATTTGCAGAGTTAATATTAGATTGGATAATTTAGATGCGGAACAAAACAAATTGTGCATGAGAATGGATAATTCACCAATGTGTTTTGTTTAAAAAGAAACATCTGTTGCTTCTCTCGAAGATTTTCAAGGATGGCTTTGTATTCGCCAGACTTCTTATCTCTAATTACAATTTTACTTTTATCTCTTATTTTTATTTGTTATGATTAAATTTCTTACTTTATTTGTTAATTGAGATATTAACACTCTGATGAAAATATATCGATATACCTATATTCCAAACTTGATAAATTTAGGTAGATTTAGTATGAAGTTTATTAGCACAAAGTGCTGATCAATCTTTTTTCCTCTCTATATTTTATATTCTTAATTGTCATATTTTTAAATAAAAATCTTGATAGCAATAATTATCAAAAATTCTCTTTTGATGATTATTATACACTGTCAAGATTTTTATTGGTGTTTTTTGATTATTAACTATTTAGTACCAATATTTTAAATTATCACTATTATTAGAATCCAATATACATATATAAATACATGTATGTGTATTTTAATTTTTCATATTGCATCTTTTTTTTTCTTTTTTGCCTATGATTTTATGTGATTTATACACACACACATACATTATACATATGCACGCACGCACACACGCACACACACACACACACACACACACACACACACACACACACACACACACACACACACACACACACACACACATATATATATATATATATATATATATATATAAACATATGTGTGTAGTTTGCATTTAGCATAATTTTTTGTTTCTTTTATTTCTTTATGAGTTTTTTTCCTTCTTTTGTTTCTTTATGAGTTTATATTCATAGAATAATTATAATACTGTTTGCACTGTTTGTGCAGTACAAGAAATATAATGTTTGTTTCTGCAATTACAGTACAAACAATTACGTTTATTGATTATACAATTATATACTATTTTTATATGCACTAACTATAATGTTGAACGATATTTGTTTCGCATGTAATTAATCGTGAATCATGAAATAATATGCTATAGGATTTTCATAAATACAACACAAATGAAGTTTTCTAATTCTGATTCTAACTTGCTTTTTTGTAAACGGAAACATAAAGGGAAATTAAGGAATTATTCCTAAAATTACATGTTAAAAAAAAATCTGAAAAAGATTACTGTTATCATATATAAAATAAAAGGAAATTATGGAAATTGTAAATTTATGTATAACATATTTACTGAGAAGATTGTGATTGTACATTGGTTGCATTCTAGTGCATTTTACACCATATCGTATTTATTATAATGATCATATTATAAGTTCCGATAGTTCTATCCTATCTAAAGATTACAGGAGCGATCGGAAATAAAAGTGGAAGGAGTGCTGAATATAGAGAGAAAAGAAGTTTAAGACGAAATAATTTATAACGCGCGACACCCACACGGTTTTCACGATGAAGCCATGTATGGACACGTGACGTCAACATTACTTTTGCGTTTATCAACGTGTGCATGAGTAGGCGCTCGACAGGCATAGAAGGCAAAATCCGTGGGAGAGCACTAAAGAATCGGGGTCCGACATATCCGTATGATCGATCGATCGATGATCACACCTTCGAATTCGATCTATGAACGATTTATTCTATTCCATTACCCATGATTTTTCGGATTAAAAGTGATTTGTATAAATGATGGAACAGGATCTAAAAATAAGAACGCTTCGCAATCCAGAATTCTCGATTTTCAAGTCGACGATTTTATATCTAGATTTATATAATTGGATTTCGTCTGTAAAAATATGTGCGTTTAATCCTACATGTATAGGACAAGTGTGATTTTTATTTTTAGATACCTGACTTTTGTTTCAATGCGAAAATGTTACAAAAGCACGAGAATTTTAAAATAGCTAAGGCGGAAAAACAAAAATTCTTTCGACACACAACTGTTTATGATTCTGATAAATTCCATGAATATTTTCGAATTTTAGATATATTCATTGGGAAATAACTTTTACCAAAAAGTGACTTTGTTTTTTAATTGATTTATTTAGCTGTTTTGAATTAATTAAGATCAATCAGTTTATCATCTTTCTGTGCTTCATATATAAGCCGTTTATTTTGAAAATGGCCTAAGTCCATTTGTCAATTATTTTTTATTATTATTTTTTTTATTTTTAATTTTATTGAAACGCAAACTCTTAAATATCTCAATTTAAATATAAATGAACTTAGGTCACTTTCAAAATAAACGGCTTATATATATTCATATTATTCAGGTGCATAAGCGTCATTTGTGAGACTCAATTGTATCTTTGTAATTCAAGCTATCTCGACTCGAGGCATTTAAACATTTTGCAATCGTGTGTACTCTCTTTATAGTGACTTGTAAGAACAAGCTGGCGGAAAACACGCATTGTTGAGAGCATTAATTGTCTATGATTATTTCGCAATGATATTTCTATCGGTGTTTTAGCTGAGAAAAAGTTGCAGTAACACACTTCATATATAGGGTGTCCCATTTTAATGTCCCATCCTAAATAACTTTCTTATTTTTAATTTTAGAAAAAGATGTTTTAGACCAAAGTTGTATGGTTTCTAGGGGGACATAAGATGGTGCCATTAGTTTGACCTTGAAGAGTCACATGAAGGTCATTTTGAATTTCTTAAATGGAACACCCTATATATTTTTGCATATTCTTGTAACTTATCTCGCGAGCTTTCCAAAACACTATAAAGATTTTTTCATGAAGTATTTTTCGAGTTATGAGGCTCATTTCTTAATTTTACATAAATAAAATGTCATACATAAACCATAAAATATCTTGCAAAATATTCATTTTTTGATTATCTTACCTTAATATTTTTATGTACAAAATAATAAGAGGAATCAATTGGTGTAAAAGAAGTACATAGTTGTTTCTAAGAAAAAATATGGAATTGTTAATTGCAAATTAGATATTTTTTTTTAAAAAACAACTATGTTTTCTTTACACCAATTGATTCCTCTCATTATTTTGTACATAAAAGTATTAAGATAATCGAAAAATGAATATTTTACAAGATATTTTATGGTTTATGTAAAATTAAGAAATGATTTCAAGCCTCATAACTCAAAAAATACCCCTAAAAACCATATAACTTTTGTCTGAGACATCTTTTTCTAAAATTAAAAATAAGAAAGTTATTTGGGGATAGGACATTAAAATGGAACACCCTGTATTGGTTTATATAAATTCGATATAAAAATATGCTCTGCTAACATATTTATGAAATAAGTTTGTAATAAAATTTCTAGTGATAAAATGCGAATTATTTGTTACAAGTAGACTATTTACATAATGATTTTTGAAAAATAATTACTTCCATCGATCTCCGTTAAACTATTTTATCTTTATTTCTAATTCTTCGTTTGCAATATTTCTTCGGATATATGTCTCAAAATGGAAAAAAATTAGATTAAAAGAAAACAATTATACGTAAAATATATTTAGCTGGATCGCTGAAAACAATACGTATTTTATTTATATAAAGAAGCTGGTAAAAAAGAATCACGTTACATGGCCTTGCAATGTCACTAATTTGAAGGTATCGAGATTAAATATTTGTCGTCTGAAATTAGTGATCCTCTCTGAAAAGAAAAGAAAAAAGATTAAGATTTAAGATTCTCTCAGCTAAACGTTGCCAATTTATATATCGTTAACATGTATAAATTGACGACATAGATAAACACGCGTTCGCAGATATTTACCTTGTACGTTTCACGCTTCAAGCATAGCGGTCGGCGCGTATCGAAAAAATGGATAGGTAGGTAGAGAATATTAATTATGCATTCCAAGACACGCCGCTCCGAGATCGTAACAAAGTTGCGCGCCACCGATGTTGATGTAATGCACCGATCTCGTTGGGAAAGGCCGATTGCGCACTCGGAATATATCTCCCGTGTGGTCCATTTTTTTTTCTCTCTACTTCCACGAACGCGCGACGTTCCTAGGAGCGGCTTCCTGCGGCCTTTGCAAAGACGATTACTATTAGCGTAAAGGCAGCGTACTTCTTTTCCCATTAATCCCTCGCGTTATTCATCCTCGAAGAGTCGCGCCAAGCTTGCATCTGATTTTGACAACCCGCGAACGACAAGTTTCAACGTTGCGCGGCTCGTCAGCTGGGCGCGCGTGTCATCGCGTGCGAGATCCCGAGCCAAGATTAAAAATTGTAATTGGAGACCCGTGGCAATGTACGGCTCGCCGGAAAGATTCGGGAGTAAATCTCTCCCCTCCGGGTGCGTTTCGCGCCAAGATTCCGAAGAAGAGAGCGACACGACGTTAAGGATGTTTTGTACCTATTTTCAAAATATTGAGAATTTAATGAAAATTGTACAGAATGTCCTCACATATGTTTAGAATCTTCAGTAGAATTTTTAAATCGATTCACTAAAGCGTTGACAAGTTACAAGGATTTTAATTTGCACCGAATTAATACATATGTTCTTATGGGAAACGTGTAACCACGTCGATTCAAATGACGAAAACACATGGAAATAATATTCATTTGTTGAAAATTTGCAAAAGTTTAGATACAGAGGAAATATTTGGTCAAATAATATTATACAAGTACTAACTGGTTAAAAAGGTATTAAATATAATTCAATCAAGTTAGCCACGTATCTGTCACAAGTGGCGAAATTCTCTGCCAAAAATTAATCATTTCGATTAAGGATATTTTGTATCTATTCTCAAAATATTGAGAATTTAATGAAAATTGTACAGAATGTCCTTACATATGTTTAGAATCTTCAGTAGAATTTTTAAATCGATTCACTAAAGCGTTGTGACAAGTTACAAGGATTTTAATTTGCACCAAATTAACATATGTTCTTATGGGAAACGTATAATCACGTCGATTCAAATGACAAAAACACATGGAAATAATAGTCAGAATTTGTTGAAAATTTGCAAAAGTTTAGATACGGAGAAAATAATATTATACAAGTATTAACTGGTTAAAAAGATATTAAATATAATTCAATCAAGTTAGCCATGTATCTGTCACAAAGCGAAATTCTCTGGCAAAAGTTAATCATTTCCGTTAACAAAATTCAGAATATTTCAATAAAAACGCAATAAATATTAAAAAATACATCTCTGCACTGTAGCTAAGATCAAATTGTATATTCCACACAATTTCTTCCTCAAAATACATCAAAAATGGATATATTCGTCAATATTAATTTTCAGCTACTTTTTGCTGGGATTGTACATACAAAACATCCTTAAACGTAAATTAGAATGGATATCCTGTAAGATTATCCGCGAAGGATTCGCCAAGAGGGAAAAGGACGGGACAGCGTCCCTACGCATATTCATGGAGAGCATAAGAAGGGGGGAGGGAGGAATGTATTAACGTGGGCCTGAATTATCCGACTCTGCAACGCGATGGTATATGGCGTGTATATCCGTCTCTCTCTCTCTCTCGTTCTCGCTCTCGCTCTCTCTCTCTCGCCGCTAGCGCATACGCAGAGGCCGTATATGGTAGTGGGCGGTAGACACGGAGACGGAGCGAGATGCGCGGGGGCGGAGGAATCGCGCATGCGCGCGCGGACTCGATCTTCGGCCCGGCTCGGCCGGCTTCGGCTCGGCCCAGCGCATGCGCGCATGCACAGACGCGCGGGCGGTGCGATCAGTAGATCTGAGAATTCCGTAGCGCGCGTACTTACCTCCGGATCCCCTCGCGATCTCCGCATTCCGATTTATAACCGCCTCACGAAGCGCAAGCGAGCGGCGAGAGAGAGAGAGAGACGCACGCGCGATTCATCTATGCACAATTAACTCTCTCTCTCTCTTTCTCTTTGCCCCTTTATCCCATCTTCTCCCCGTTTTCTCCTCCCCCCCCCTCTCTCTCTCCCATCGTCCGTCGATCGTTCTATTTATCTTGGACGCTCCGTCTCTCTCTCTCTTGCTCTTTCTCCTTCTCGCCTCCCTCTCCTTCCCACCCTTCCATCGCTCCGCGTCGCCTTCTCGCGATCTCGCGCGTTCACCAGTTGCGGGATCGTTTTCTAAAAACGTAATAGTCAACTGTGCGCCTTCCAAGAGAAGAGGAGACAATCGGAGTCGACGAAAGCGAGAAGCTCAAGGAAAAAGGGAGACCCTCGGCGACTGGAAAGAGCCAGAGGCCAGTTTCACATCGCTGGAGAGAAGAGGAGAAATCAAAAAAAATCCGGACGACTTTACGACTCTCTCGGAGGAGCGCGCGATCCCTCTCCGCTTCCTCCTTTCTTCCCCCTCTCTTCCTTCCACTCACCGCACCACCATCCCTTCCACTCGCTGCGCCGTCATCCCTTCCACTCGCCACGCCGCCTCCCTCCCGCTTGCCGCGTCGCCTCCCCTCCCGCGCCTCGCGTTCCGGCTCTCTTCTTCGAACGCTCTTTCGTCAGTACGTCTCCGCCCGTCCGTGCCCGTGTGTTCTCCCGAAGAGAGAACGATTCCGTCCGTTCGACACCGCGCCGCGCGCACCGTCGTGTGGCCCGCTCGCGCTCTCTCTCTCTCTTTCTCTCTCTCCCTTTCTCTTTCTCTTCGTTGTGATTAAAGCGTGCCCGCGCGCGCCCAACACGCGCCAACATTCGCCATTGAAGCAACCGAGTACAATTTGCGATGTGTGATAATACTAACACGACGACGCAGAGTATAGCGGACTACCTGTCACAGTTGTTGAAGGACCGGAAGCAGCTCGCTGCCTTCCCGAATGTCTTCATACACGTGGAGCGTCTGCTGGACGAGGGTGAGTTTTTTGACAGCTTTCATTTTTTTCCGTTTTCGGGGTCGTTTTACTTTCGCGTATGCCGCTGCTCCAGGGGAGGCTTTCCCTCAGGTGTAGCTAGAGGGAAAATGTTAAGTGCGCGTGTAGGTCGTAAGATGCAAAACTGCGGCGATGCGCCATTTTGCGAGCAATTTTGCGCCCGAGAGAGCCAATTTTTTTATCGCCACGAGTGACGTAACGCGAGCATCGCGTACTCCTCTCGTCGATCTGTCTCGTTATTTATCCTCGCGGATTTTCTCGCTCGGTCGGAGCTTGTGAAATTCGCACTCGAAATATCGCCGATGGAATATCGGTCCCTAATACTGTCGGCGAATTTCTGCGCCGGGAATGAAGCTTATATAGGGTGTCGTGGAAATTTCAGCCTCAATTTTTATCAAGCTTGATTTAAGATCCTTAACGCGTTGCAGATATTTATGTGTTTCTCGTTTTCGTGAGACGTTTTCTCAATTTTGACGACGTGTTCTTTTTAAAGGTACAAACGATACACCGTTAATCGACTTGACTCCATTTCACGGTACACGTATTGCGAAAGCGACACGGCCTCCCCGCTTATTGCGTTTAGGAACGCGCGGAAAACGGCGAAGGAATCTGCCTCTCCCCCGTCGTCTCTCTTCTCCACATCCAGAGGATGTAGAACACCCTGCACGAACGTCGTGTGTGTACATTTTCGCGACCCTTCCACGTGTACGATCGCCTTATCCGCTCCTTTCGCTATCGCGACGCGTGTATGTCACGTGGCCGGCGCGCAGCGGCGTGCTTGTTCGCGAGGAAAAAAGGGGGAAAGAAATGTAACGCGAAATAGGAACCACAAGGAAGCTTTTGAGCGTCGTCAGCGAAAAATCAATTTATAATCGAGCGCACAATTTGTACTCGAGCAATTTATTTTCCGCAAACGGATTAAATATCGAGGAAAAAATACGTGCGAATTTGTGTACGCAGGAAAAAAGGACACTCTTGTTTTGAAAATATATTTAGTCTTGATATGGAAATCTTGAAATGAGATTATATCGCGTTAATTCAAGAAAAATATAATTGTTTACTTGAATGAAGTCATTTTATTCAGTTCAATCGAGAAAAATATATTCTTATGATTGAAGATTTAATTTTCTCGAATGGAAAAGAAACAATGTTGGGTAGAAAATAACATTCTTAAATCAAAGATTATAATTTTTTGAAAGGAGAATTAAATAATTATATATTATTGAGGTGACAATTGCAGTAATCAAATAAGACTATAATATTGTTAAAATTTAAAATTATTAAATTCTTCTAAAATTAAAAATTCTAAAATTAAAAATTATTAAATTCTTCTAAGAAGCTTATAAATTGTTGCGTATATACGAAACAATGAATGCGTTAGTTTAAGTATATAAATTTTGATTTGACATTTTTTTTCTATGTATAAATATATAAATTCAGCACACAGAAAAAAAGGATATTATTGTTTTGAAAATATATTTAGTTTTGATATGGAAATCTTGAAATGAGATTATATCGCGTTAAAGAAAAATATAATTGCTTATTTGAATGAAGCCATTTTATTCAGTTTAATCGAGAAAAATATATTCTTATGATTGGAGATTTAATTTTCTCGAATGGAAAAGAAACAATGTTGAATAGAAAATAATATTTTTAAATCAAAAATAATATTTTTTAAATAATATTTTTAAATATTTATAATTTTCTTAAAGTAGAATTAAATAATTATATATTCTCGAGGCGACAATTACAATATTAAAATAAGATTATGATATCGTTGAAATTTAAAATTATTAAATTCTTCTAAAAAGATTATAAATTGTTTTGCGTAACAATTTATACGAAACAATGAACGCGTTAATTTAAGTATATAAATTTTAACTTGACACTTACTTTTTTTCTGTGTAAAATGTCAAATTATGAGATTAGCAAAGATGAATATTTTGCGAAAAGTCACGCTTGCTCTTTTTTCTTTCTTTTTTTTTTCTTTCTTTCTTTTCTTTTTTTTTAAGCGAACCGATGTTTGCGAGATACTACTACGTTTCTCATTACATGGTATGGAAGTTGCGGTAGATAGATAGGTAGTTTTGCATCTGACATTTATGACAGTCGCTTCTAATAGCGGTGCAAAATATAACGTACACAAAGAGAACTTCTTCGGACGTTCATACTTGTGATGTCATGCGTATACGATAAATATCAAGGATTCGTTCTGTTGAAAATAATCCCCAGGAGATTACTTTGTAACTTTGTTTTCCTCTTTTCACAGAAAGACAGATTTTTTTTGTCAGACAAGATATTTATCTTGCTATCCCGTTTTGCTGCAGATAATCGCATTGTCAAGGATCTAAGGACGATGGTCAACCATTTTCGGTAGCGATCCCTCTATTAACGAATGAATGGCAGACGAGCATTTTTCGGGTTTGACAACCAGTATAATGCTGGTCGACCAACATCGATGATGCGGGACGTTAAATCGGAAGTAGCCTCGGTTACAAAAGGTCCTACCATGCGATTAGTTGAACAAGAACTAACTTTCTCTGTTAACTTTATCGTTGCCGGTCACGAGTTCTCGTTTCGTCACGGTTGTGATTAAGACCTTAAATGCTCCGGGTTTTGTATTCCTCGTGCCAATAGATACTACAAACTCTTACAATCGGCATACGATAATAGTTTGACCTGTCAATGACACAATGCATCCTATTATAATCATCCCTTTCCAAGAAGAATAACCCAAAGATAAAGTGATAGGCAAAGCATGATAAGCGTTATACATATGTTATTCTTCGGATCTTAATCTTTCTATCAATATGTAATTTTTCATCTCTTTCCATCAATGTATGGATACCTAGATATTTTCTGGATATATCGGACTGCGATAATTTTTTTCTAACAGCTGTTACGGGAATATTCTTTCACATTTATATTTTTTCAAATATTCCCGAATACAAAGACTTTTTGTTTTTTTCTTTCGGACAGAAAACATTAACATAAAAATAATATTCACATCTTTGCCTGCACCATTGACATCTGAATAGAAAAAAGGATGTTCTTGTTTTAAAAATATATTTAGTTTTAACATGGAAATCTTGAAATGAGATTATATTGCGTTAATTAAAGAAAAATATAATGTTTGAATAATTGCTTACTTGAATGAAGCCATTTTATATAGTTTAATCGAGAAAAATCTATTTTTATGATTTAAGATTTAATTTTCTCGAATGGAAAAGGAACAATGTTGGATAGAAAATAACATTTTTAAATTCAAGATTATAATTTTCTTAAAGTAGAATTAAATAATTATATATTCTCGAGATGACAATTACAATATTAAAATAAGACTGTAATATTGTTGAAATTTAAAATTATTAAATTTTTTTAGGAAGATTATAAATTGTTGCGTATATACGAAACAATGAACGCGTTATTTTGAGTATATAAATTTTGATTTGACACTTATTTTTTTTCTATATATAAACATATAAATTCAGCACAGAAAAAAAGACATTATTGTTTTGAAAATATATTTAGTTTTTGACATGGAAATTTTAAAATGAGATTATATCGCGTTAATTAAAAAAATATAATCGCTTACTTGAATAAAGCGATTTTATACAGTTCAATCGAAAAAAATATATTCTTATAATTGAAGATTTAATTTTCTCGAATGGAAAAGAAATAATGTTGGATAGAAAATAACATTTTTAAATCCAAGATTATAATTTTCTTAAAGTAGAATTAAATAATTATATATTCTTGAGGTGACAATTACAACATTAAAATAAGACTGTAATATTGTGGAAATTTATTAAAATTATTAAATTTTTCTAGGAAAATTATAAATTGTTGCATATATACGAAACAATGAACGTATTAGTTTAAGTATATAAATTTTGATTTGACATGGAAATCTTGAAATGAGATTCTATCGCGTTAATTAAAGAAAAATATAATTGCTTACTTGAATGAAGCCATTTTATACAGTTCAGTCGAAGAAAATATATTCTTACGATTTAAGATTTAAATTTCTGGAATGGAAAAGAAACAATGTTGGATAGAAAATAACATTTTTAAAGATCCAAGATTATAATTTTCTTAAAGTAGAATTAAATAATTATATATTCTTGAGGCGACAATTACAATATTAAAATAAGACTGTAATATCGTTGAAATTTAAAATTATTAAATTCTTCTCAGAAGATTATAAATTATTGCATATATACGAAACAATGCGTTAGTTTAAGTATATAAGTTTTGATTTGACACTTATTTTTTCTCTGTGTGGGTATCCAAATATTCGTTCATTGATGGAAAAGTAAGTTCGATTTTGACTCGCGAGAAACTTGGAAACTTGGCGTATTATCTCATCCAAATACTTGCGTATTTATTCGCGCCGCACATGTGCGTATTTTCGGAATCGATAAGCGACACGAATCGGCGCGAGTGAAAGGAACGCGCGTAGCGTGCGTAAATATTTATTTGTCGCACACATATCGGTCACGATGGCAAGATTGGCCGATCATTTTGTTATCGTCGAATAGGCGCGCGATATTGCGAGGTGATGTTGTTTTGATCGAAACCGAAGGCGAGGATAGGCGAATCCGAGAAAAGACGCGGAAAAGACGCTGACCTCGTACCGCCTCGTAAAACCGCTTTATGGGTACTCTTGATATAAGCCTTCCCCTCTCTCCCAATCTCCCTCCCCTGAACTCTCGATACACCGTTCACCAGATCTCCGCGAACCTGTTCTCGAAGAATAAATCTCCGCGTAAATAAACGATTCATAGAGACGTTCGAGAATTTCTTTTTCCTTTTCTTTTTTTTTTTTTTTTTTAACTGAGTGCATGTGGAATCTGTGCCTTTAACACGCACTTATGATAAATTGACGCTTATCGTTGGATAAAGAAAAAAACTAGCATTCCATCGCGCGGCTACGGCTTTTGATGTAATCCACTACACTGAGGAAAAAATTATGTTGAAAT